CCCAACCCCCCTTGCAGAAGCGATGTCCTTGGCCAGAGGGCTTTCTAATTGAAACTGTCGCCGGCAGAAGCCTGGTCGTAAATCAGGGCCGGCAGCACCAAGAACTAAGCCAAGTCTGTTCTGTTTCGAGATGTGGCCGCTGCCTAAACAATTAAAAAGTTTTCAATTAACTGGCGCAGCTACGAAAATTGGCACTTGTAATCGGCACCTGTTCAACAACCGTAACAAACAGCAAGGCCTGCGGATGTTTTCCAGGGGACTGCGATGCTTTTCGGGGGTTTCTGTTCCAGATTCTGTTTAAATAAGCCCATAGCTGGGAGGGGTGGTGGGTGGTGGGGTGGCACTACCACAAGCAGGCACGTAATACATTTATTACGCGTGAGCACGCCGTCCTCTGATGTAAATCTCCCTGTGCGTGTGTGTGTAAATGAGTTTCCAACATTTCGTTGCATACTTTCGGGGTGGCAAAAGTTGGGCTTTAAAGTTTAAACAGCAAAATGCAAATACCCGTGCTTTATAATGCCATGGGAAAAATCTAGTTAGCTCGACCTGATACTCATTTTAAATATATTCAATGCAGCTTGGGTGTATACGTTTTATTTTTTTATCAAATTATCTCATTTTTTTATTACATTATTTTTCTAAAAATAATAAAAAATTTCGACTTTTAGTGCCAACTGAGGGAACTCAACGAAGTTTGATAATTGGAATAATATTTCATTTGATTGAGTAAAAATATTGATTTTGTTTAGGTGGAAAATCAGGATCTGTTCAGTATGAGTGAAAATATGATTTTTCCTATGGTTTTTTACCAATATATTGGTAACATTCTATAGAAGCTTTTATTTTTTACAATGGATCAAATAATTTTAAAAATACATTTTATGGCAAATGCGACAGAAACAGCCGGGTTTTTAAAATATTTTTTAAAAGTCAAAATTGGTGTGTAAAAGAATGCAACAATATTTTTGGAAGCCACAATTTATATAAATTGTACAGAAATACTGCTATTCTTTAATCACTGCATATTTTTCAAGCGCTTTAGCACTGCCATGTTAAAGTACCTTTTCCATCACTACAGAGCTAAGCAAAAAACCCTTCCCAGCCTTGCAATAAAAGCGGAAATGTGGTAAGGTGGCAAAAGTTGGCCATTATCCAGATCCGTTGGAAATTAACTTAGCGCACGCACCGCCAGCACAAAATGCGCGACTGAGAGCATAATGGTCTGCTGCACATAATTAGCCAGTGGCTGTAGCTGTCCAGTCCAAAGGCTATTCAAGTGGTTTTGTGGTCAGTGACCAGCTTTCAACAGTCACAGGGTCCCTCAACTGTTGTCGCCCCCGCACAGAGATTGAAAAGAACTCAATTATTTTTTACTGCGCGTAATTAAAACTCAGCAGAAATGAAGGTGGGAAGGGGATTGGGGATCGTCCTGTTGGATTGTCCTGTGTCAGTGGCACTGGCAAATATTAATGATGTTAAACCCTCCAACTGCTTCTCCCTTTGCTAATGATGATACTACTGCTGCTGCTTTTGCTACTGCCACTAATTCCAACGTTCGGCGACTTCATCAACAGTTGCCAAGTTAATTACGCTAAGTGAAGCATTCCAGCTAAAACCCATCAGCTTCAGAGCTCCGTCTTCAACTTGGGCTCGAGTGGAAATTGTTATTTTTTTTGCATTATTAAAAGTTTTTGCAAGACGCGGCGAAGTTCATAAAAATGCGGCATACTCCTGAGCTGGCCATAAATATGCAAAATATATATTCCCATTTGCAGCTGGAAGTTTAAATGCCTCTTGGGCTTGGGCCAGAATTTGTAAGCATATGGAAGGAACTCAGGTAAATGAGTAGACACTCAGGTATATAAAAGATGCATTACCTTTAAGGGTTAAAATATTACTTTGGCAGTTCAAACGAGTTCAATTTCGATTTTTGGACATGAAAAGCACTTTAAGGTGTCTAAAAGAATGCTATAATATTATTTTCCTTATTTTTTGATGCATACTTTCAGACACATTTGTAAGTGAGTTGAGAGCCCTATATTGTTCGAGTTTTGTATATAAAAATCATTTTAAAAGGTTTCTAAAAGCGTTATATATTTTTCGGCATACTTTTAGACATTTATTTAAATGATATTAAAACCCCAGAACTTACTATTTAGGATAAAACCCTTTGAAGTCACTAAGAAAAATATTCCCCCTTAAGTTACAGAAAGTTTCCACTTCTCCTTATCGTTTCATCAATTAGTAATCATTAGATTTCATTTGTCATGGATTTTGCATAGAGCCCAACCCACCAGAGAGGAAATTATGACGTTGAACCCGGGGATTTCCCTTGGAAAAAACGACATGTGTGTCATATGCCAAGGAGCTGGCTATTAAATTTCATTTTATGATTTCACTTTGTGTCCTTGTCCTCTGGCATGTCAATTTGCTGCGTCAATTTATGCGAAAATCCCGCGACAGTTGTTCAACCCTTAGAGAAAAATAAGCAAAAGAAGCCACAGGATCCCATGCAGTCCAGTCTTTGTTTGCGATGTCCTTCTGCCTTTCCTCCAAAGTTACCAAACACAAACAGAAAACCAAATAAATCAACTTGCCACGCCGACGATGACGCACTCCACATCAATATTCTATTAATGGCAGTGCAGTTGTTAAAATATTATGATCCCAAGAAAAATTTGACTACTTTTTTGGTGTGGGGTGGCGGCGATGGGCACTTAAAAAATCACTTCAGAATATTTTCTCGCCTGTTTTAATACGCATTTTCGCGCTGAGATGATTTATGCGAGGAGGAGGAAATGGTAATGAGGACAGAACTCCCCAGTGGGTTCGAAGTTGTTTGGTATTGGGTGGAAATTCCTGCTTATCGCTGGTAAATTGCTCAAAGGCGTAACAAGAAATTTAGCCTGTGGCTTAGCGCACTTGCAACAGAAATGGAAACGCAATCGGAATGGAAATGGAAACGGAAATGGGTTGGTTTACTGGGTAGTGGGGGTAACATTATGAGGGTCCAAGGGATGGGATAGACACGCGTCTCGCTCACAAACCTCGACACGTGTCCGCTGCCACACAAACACATTCCGGTAAAATCACTGACAAAAAAACAGTCTGAAGAACACAAAGATTTATTTAAGATTTATTTAAGATTTATTTAAGATTTATTTAACTTTTTTAACTTAAACGCATTTCGTAAACTTTTAAAGTGTTAAGCCTATAATTTGATAAAAATATCGACAGTTTGCTATTTTTCGGTAATCGAATTGATATAATCGAACCATTACGGTGAATATATCGGAAATATCGATCATTTTCAAGCTCTGGTTAAAAAAATTACTATTTCATTCAGATAGCTAATAACAAATATTTTAATAAGCTCGTTACTAAGCTATGCTAAAAGTATTTCATGACATTAAATGGAAAATGAAAAAATTAGTTAGTTTTTCTATTTTTTTAAAACTTGTTCAACTTTTCTTTGTAATAAAAACCCAGCGGAAAATTTTATTTTTGTTTCAAGTGCACTCGTTTGTGTTGAAAACGAAATTGAAAACTGTTAAATAAATCGCAAACGAGTTTATTGCTCGAGTGGTGTGCACCGCGGCACACAGGAGAGGTCGAGATAACCAGCATAACCAACGCATAACACATTCCGCCCAGTCAACATATCCCACTCAACCAACTCAACCAACTCATCCAGCATATCCTGCATATCCCGAACTGAAAAGGACCGCAGACAGACGGAGGAGGATCCACTTGAGGCTGCGTGGGCCGCATTCACTTAACTTTAATTTTGCGCTACAAAACACAAAGGGAGAGGGAGAAAAGGGGGATCCAAAGAACCGAGACAGACGTGATTGGATTTTTATATTCAATATAAAAAGGATTATATGGCATTTGTTGTGCAGGCATTGAAAGTTCATAATGATTGGAAAAGTTAGGGCCACTCAGACGGACCCTCTCTTGACTTTGGCTTACACGTGGCGTGTAAAATCAATTTTAAGCCCGAAATGAGTGCAACGTGGCCATTAGGGAGTCCTAAACCAGCGACACCTGCCACGTCCTTCAAAAGAGGTGTGTATAATGGGTGTGTATATATAAATAGCTCCCGCCGGGGCTTTTCGGGCCTAAGCACTTCCGGTGTGAAAATGCTCGGCATGTGTGAAATATCCAGAGCCGAGTATGGAGATTATCTAGATTATTATGCAGAGATGCCATTAAATATCCAGGCAAAAGCCGTAGCCACTTTCCAATTTCAAAGACCGAGCTGACCACCATCCATTCTGGCTAATGGCCAACGGTCGGTCTTAATAGTTTCGCCTGACAGTTTAAAGTGTCCGACAGTTTAATGGACCTTGTCCAGTATTTATTGTATTAATATTGCACCGACAGTCATCGCACAAAATGAGAAGGGAAAGGCCTTGCTTGGACACTAAGGAAAATTAATGGAAGTTCGGGAAATTAAGTTTAATTTAATTAAATATAACTTCTACAGTATACCTTTATTGTTGAATAAATATACCCCTTTTAAAAAAAAAAAATCTCTACGATTTGAAATCACTTAGAAAGGAGTTTAAAAGTATGCTGTAAAAAATAAAAACGTCATTTTTTGTTGCATACTTTTAGGCATAAATAGAATAATTCCCTTTTGAAAAAGTCCCAAAAGGAGCTCATAAATAGTCAACAAATCTCTGTTTGACACGTTTCAAATGGGAATAATAATTTAAGTTCAGAAAATTAAATTTAATTTTATTAAAAATAACAAATTGGGAACCACAAAAATCTCAAGGACTTAAAATAATTTATAAAGGTGTTAAAAAGTATGCTGTAAAAAATGAAATCGTCGTTTTTTGTTGCATTCTTTTAGACTGACTTTTATAATATGTATAGGAATTTCAAATTTCAACTAAGAAATCACTTTAACTTCTTTCACTGCAGCCTTTTTAAGTTCCCTGTTAATGGTCTGTGGCCTGGTCAATCGTTAATGATTGTGTTGTACTTACCTCGGGTATATCATCTGGCACCTTTCCCATCCATGATAATGAGAGTATCGTGCAGTCGCATTTTGTGTTGATGTTTCGCTCGAAGTGTAAATGCATTTTATGGCCCAGAAGCGAAGGCCAACTAACTATGTATCCTCAAGTTGTGGTTATTCTGTTTGCTTTTTTTGATGTAGCTATAGCTGCTCAATGCCGATTTAAGCCACACACATGTTGCTAAAATAAAGAAAGAGAGTGGGAAAAAGGGGGTTGGGGGTGAGTTTCATTATCGTTTAGTATAACATGCCAATAACTAATTTACGATGAAAGCCAAATGGAGTAGATGTTTTTCCCTGCCACTCGTGTGTTGCCAATGTTGTTATTATTATTCTGGTTAGTGCTGCTGGTGCTGGTACCTTCCTTATCAGGCCAAAACACACACACAGACTGCCTTTCGGGTCATTGGATGTGCTGCTTTGTACGGGGATTTATTGGTGGGTGGAACACGATGTTCCGGCATATGTTAGCTGTTCTACCCCCGCCCCCTTATTCCACCCGAAGCGGTATCAACTTCATCGTGCTTCTTCAAGGGTTGACAAATTGCACCACACACATACACACAAGAAAAACACACACACACACTCCCACGTACACGACATAATTTGAAGCATGCTTTTCAGGGCACACTAATTGGTATTAGTCGAGGGAAGTGGATGTGTCCTATCTTCACCAGGATAACCCACTCACACACACTCACGCATGTGGCTCATAAAAATCCTTTTTACCAAATGGCTTACATATATCATATATACCATCTACTTGAAAAGACTTTGAAAACTTTATGCGGAAGTCGAATGCTCGTGGTGGCCAAAGTTTGAGTTTGTTAATTTTGTTACTCTTGCTCTTGCGAAAGTCAAAGAAAGTTGAAGAGCTTGATAAGCTCAATATAATAATTAAAATATATTTTACTTTTCATGAATTGGTTTTGCAAACTCAAATAGTTAAAGAGCTATACAAACTTGTTAAAGATTTAAACGGAGTATTTCAATCTGTTGGCAAGTCTTACAGCCAGACAATGCTCCTCTATTTCCCAAAAATATTACAAATGCTAAGAGCTAAAACGTTGTGAAAACTTCACCGTCACTTTCGCAACGCCACTCATTTAAATTATTTAAAAAGTTTTTGGGGCAAAAAGTCGAGTAAAGTCTTGCTGGGATAAGAGCTCTGGGCAAAGGAAAACAATCCCTTGCTGAGCAGAAAGCAAAGCAGAAGCAAAAGCAACGGAGAAACCTCCAGTATGAGAATGTTTCAAATTATGCTTGAATAATTGATATGGCTTGCTGCTGTCTGTTGTCTCGTTTGATGACTGCTTGACTAGCCGGCTTCTCGTTCTCGGTATTTGGTCTAGGCAGGATGGTGCTACACGGCCAAAAATGAGATTTATTATTTCCAAAAGAAACTAGTAAAACTAAAATAATTAAACAATTTGCCTAATATACGAAGAAATCACTTAAAAGCGTTTATAAAGGTGTCTAAAAGTATGCTATAAAAATATAAATCTGTTTTTGGATTCAAAATAAATTGTTGCATACTTTTGGGCGCTTTTATAAATGAATTCAGATCCCAGTCACTTCTTTAGCCTCATTTAATACGAATAAAATGCATTATTCTTCAAAATAAATTGGTTTTCCTTTTCCCATAATTTTTTCCAGTGTATCTGAGCATAGCCTGCGGCTGGGGGAACACAGAGACGAAAACGGGCAAGGAGGGCGACCGTCCAGAGACAAAAGCACACACGCATTTGCTTCAATTATGTCGTGCGCTTTGTCTGATTGAATTTGACATGTGATATACCATTTTTGATTGCGTATACGCCCCGGGGGCGAGCCTTCAACGGAGCGGGCTTTCAGCTGAAAGCCAACTAATGGAATCTTTCGGTAAGCTTTTGCCCTTTGCCTGCTTAAATATTGATAAAAAAGCCAACTACAAGTTGTTATAAATTGAAGAGTCTTTTGAATTCCATTTCAATAACACACAAACAGACAGACAAAATGGCAGGAAAAAACGTAAAAATGGGAGGAATGCATTCTCGAGTAGTTCACGAGATGAATGATTGCACATTCACCGTGGGGCACATTCCGAACGTGTTACTTTCGCCACTCTGCGATTTTGCCAGACAGCCATTGTTCGGCTGCTTTTAAATTGTTCAACGTGCCGCATTTGGCAGCCAACCTGCACATTTTCCAACCCAACCACCCACCAACCCACCGAAACACCAGCCTTTCGGCGCTTTCATGCGACACTGAGCACTTTTTAGCCGTGTGTGCGGTTCATGGTCGCCATAACGCGTCAGAGTAACGAAAATAACCGAGGCGGCGGCGTCGGAAAAGCTGTCGAAATGCCAGTCACAATCTGGCTGGGGCGGAAAACTCAGGTTTGCAGGTTGCAAAGTTGCAGCTGTGCAGCGGACACGACAACCTGGGCCAGACATCATGAAATATGCATTTAACCATCAACAATGGCAAAAGCAGCCTTGGTAATGGGTCTACCTTTTGGCCATGAGAGCCAAAACTTGCGAATAAATAAAGCCAAAATTACTCTGCCTGTACTCTATACAAGATTACTTAATCCATTTGAAATGCAATTTTAGTTATTGATTCAATTTACTGCACTCAAAGGCCAAACAATAGCTTTGGGTAAATAATGCAATTAAACAATCGAATCAATATCCATCAAATTCCTATTCAAATTTCAATTTGTTTTGCACTCTTTTCTCTGTTCTATAAACAAACCCCCGCAGCATTTTAGTTGTTCCTAAAATATAGGATTTTGTTTCGGCTTTGCCATTAAAAGTTAATTATGTGGAAAGAAGCAGAACCGGAAAAGCACACACACACAGAGTAAACTTTTGTTAGCTGTCTCTTTCTGTTGCAATTAGCCTGCCGAAATTAGATTGCGTATACGCTCCGTAGTACACAGTTTGCTGTAAGGCGCTTAACTATTATGTAGTCGTAACTGCTGTTGTTGTAACTGCTAACACTGCTTTTGGGGTAAAAGTTTTCCTCTTTTCACGTGTTCGCATAATTTTTGGCATGCGGTAACTATCCTGACAGTGGTATAAACAACTGGGGGTTTTACTTATATCAATATTAGTAACTATATTTCAGAAATATACAAAAAATAATTTCAAGAATTCTTTAAATGTTGAAATATGTGTCTAAAAGTGTGCAGTAAATAAATATTAGCCTTATTTCTGTACGAATTTATATAACATTTGGGTTAAAAATATATTGTTGCATACTTTTAGACACCTTTTTTTAATATTTTAATTTTAAAAGCCCATCTGTTATTGTTACACACCCCTTTGTTTATTATTTATTTAAATCTCTTGAATAAAAAACAAACATCACTCACAAAAAATAAAGGAATAAATATTACTATCCATTAGCAGCAGCCATAATTTTATTTTATGACCCTAAGCCGATTTAATTCTGGTCAACTTTACACAAGCAATGTGCTTAAATTGTTTACTTCAAATTTAGAATAGTTTTTTCAAGTGTTAAAATTAGTTGGGTGATTAAATTTATATAAACTAAATAAACTGCGTAACTTGCAGTAACTTAACATAGCATTATAAGATTTAATGCACACTGTATTAAGTTAATTCCCGCCCATATTTACACTATATTCGAGATTAACATTTTCGCTTCACCGTCTGTGTAATGCATAATTGTGTATTTATGTCCAGGCCAGTGGCTCAGACCCCCACTTAATGCAGCTAAAATCCTGATTTACTTTTTTATCCTTCGCGCATGTCCCCCCATTATGTCTGCGAATTAATTGTGGCAATTTGCTTTTGATCCTTGGGCCACAGGACGGAATTTGAATGCACGCAATTATTTCATTTTCATCATGCTTTTCATCTACCTAACGAGCTGGCATTGTTCATATTTTTTTGTATTCTTATTTTCTTGTCCCTGTCTCGTTTATTGCTGTCAGCGGTCCGGGAATGCCCTTGAACCGCCTGAAAACTAGCCCAGCTAGCTGCTCCTTTGCATACACAGTACACAGTATACAATATGGTATGGTATAATATGGCATAATGGAAGTGCAGCGGTGCATGCAACAAGAATACCGAATACAACAAGAACCACACTGCAAAGTCGAGTGGAAGGGAAGAACGAAGAACAACGAACAACGTAGAACTTTGTGCCCAATTCGGAATTTGTGTGTGCGTTGCCCTCGACTCGAAAGTTTCGTGACGTTGGCCACAGGAAAATATTCCGCATATAGTGTTCACATGACGACATGTATCGGAAAGGTATTTGGTTTTCAGTTTAATATATGGAGAGTGTAGAGGCCACTCGTAAATCAAAAGCCTTGGGTGAAAATGTTTCCTACTTGAGAAATCATTTTATTTACGGAACACAAGTTTTGAATTTTGTTAAAGTTTTATTTATTTCCTGTAGTCAAAGATCAATAAAACAAAGGATTATTGTGCTAATTAAGGTTTGTTTAAAATGCAATGGTATGCCTGGTTTTTATTTATCTTGTCAGATGTTACTATTTATCCTATAAAACGGTTTAAAAATTCTCGTAGAAAGGTGTTTAAAAGTATGCTGTGAAAAAATAACGTCATATTTTGTTGCATACTTTTAGATATGTATGTAGAATTATAATTAATTTAGCTTGGTTTTTTATTCACTTTTATATTTATTTACTTATTTAATAATATAAATAGCACACATTTATTTTTAAAATCTAAAAACGAATTAGTTATTTCTAACTAAGCTCTAACTAAAAGCGAAACAATATTATTCTCATATGTAATTTACACTACATTTTTAAACCAAAAAGCCATAATTTTGCGAGTAACCAACTTTTGTAAGAAAAAAGTTTCTAATCCCGGCTTCGGTTTTAAGTTTCCCCTAATTATGTGTGTCGTATGCTTTGTTGTGTGCCGCATGCCAGGCAGACAGTGAGATTGAAACAAGTTCAAAGCCCACGTAGCCCCCTGCAATTTTTAGTTGGGGGTTCCCCCGTGGGTAAAGTAATTGCTGGGAGTTCAGTTTCAGTTTCCACTGGCCATGGGGCATTCGCTTTAATTAGCCGCACGCCAGCGAGCACAAGAAATGCGTTTGAAAAAGGAGGAAACATTGAAAAGCCGGGAAACTACAAAAGGCGACACCAAATAAGGAAGTGCATGCATTTAATTGGCAGGTTTTCCAAGCAAAAGAAAAACCGAACCACTCCCTTTTTCCTTAACCCATTCTTTTTTACAGAGAACAGTGATGGAAAAACAAGAAAAAGCAATAAAATTTTGCATAAATGACGAAATAAATGACAGCCAAGAAAAGCAGCATTGACAAATACGCAGAGGAGGGTTTTCCTTGGTTTTCCCAGCCGGCTTCATCGAATGTCTTTCTATGTGTGCACTGAGCTTTAATGGTGGAAAAGCGTTGGGGAAAACACTGGGGAAATGCCATATAAAAGCTGACGCTGGGCGGATTTTCCCCCCACCGATTTTCCCTCCCATTGTTCCGTGCTTGTTTATTGACTTTCTGCGGGGTTTGGGGCAGTTGGGGGTGTGTGTCGTATAATTTGTTTCTACTTTAACCTAACCTAAACCAACCACCCCCCGCTCCAACCCCATTTCCACTCCCCATTCCTTTTCCCTTTTGGAAAACATGTTGGAGGAGGAAAATTGTGCGCCTCAGTGGCGCTACAATGTTACCCAAATGTATCTTGTTGTTGGGTGCGTTTTTCCTTCTCCTTTTCCTTGGCAATATAAACAGTTTTTCCATTATTTCCATTTCGCCGCTACTGCTGCTGTTTCAGTTATGCAAAATAATCAACATGGCAGATATTCAGAAATATTGGCAAGGCAAGGAATAACACAAACAATAACAATCACGGGCGAAAAAATAAAACAAAAGCAAAGCCGCCTGTTGTCAATGGCGAAAATATTGGCAAAACATTCGGAAAAAACCGCAAGTCGAGCAAACTGCACTTGAACTTGCCACAAAGACCCGCCACATCGTCCTCCCAGCGTCAGCTCGAATTATATAATGCAAATCGCGACAAAATACAGTACAACATCTCAAACTTGAACTGGTATCTGCTAAGCAAAAAGGTATTCAAAAATATATAATTCAGAATTTGTATCTTTTAAAAACAATATCAAAGACTTTTTTACCATAATATAAGTGAATCCTCTCAAGTCAAAAAGCTAATTTTCTTTGATGAAAATCGAATTTGAACTATGCATTTAAAAGTGAATACAAGTATAGTAGTCTTTAATTAAAAATGCCCATTTTTATTATAATCTTAAATGATTTTTAATAAATATTTTTATTATAAAGAATATTTTTCATAATCCTACAAAATGGATTGATAAATTACAACAATGCTTTCATTTTAAATATGACGAAAGATCTGTGTAAATAAATATACAAAAAATGTATTTCAAATTGTATATTTTCTCAGATTTTAAAATATTTTCGAATATATATAAAAATATTTATTGGCTTTTAAATGTTGTAGATACTTTTCTCAAAAATGATTTCCGATGGGTTTAAGGTGGTAAATCTGTGCAAAAACTTAAAAATACTTTTTAAAAATTTACAAAATTCTAAGGAATTCAAACCATGGATGTTGTACTGTATTTGCGAAATAGGGGGCGGGGTCAACCGAAACGCAGCGAAATAAGACAAAATGTAATGACCTTGGCAGCCAAGCGCCAACGCAACGCTAACACACACTCACACCCCCGCATTCAAGCACACACAAACTTAAAAATAATTTCTCAAAGAGAAGCGCCAAGAACAAAAAAAGCAACAACAAGAAAAAGACATTGGCGGTCATGCGTTGGCGTCGCTGCCGCCGTCGCAGTCGGCGTCGACGCTGGCAGCGGTATCTAAATTATGCAAACTGAGAAATTGCGGGCCCCATACATGCACACACACGTGTGCACATTATATCCCGTCCAGCTGTCGCCCCCCAATGCAAATGTAACGGTTATGTGCTATGTGGCTTAAATGCTTATCGCCCCGGCTGAACTGACCAACTAACGGAATTTCAATTTCGGCACGCATTTTCCACGGGCTTTTTATAGGCGTGTGCTCCTGATTGCTCTCTTCTCCGTTCCGTACTTTTCCCGCCGGAGTCGTTTGTCGATTAGCGTACAGAAAGAAAAACATAAAATGATTTAAAGATTTTACAAAATATTACAAATGATAATATTATTTAAAGCTAAAAGATAATAGAACAAATTTCTAAAATGCTGTAGGTATCGAACACAGACCTCTTTTAGAAATTTGTATCTTATTTAAAGATACTATAAATGTAATAATATATTATAAATATTTCCACAAAAGTAATACTTCATATCAAATACCAGCAATTAAAAATTAACAAATCATGACTAAAAAATAAAAAAAAAATTCGTTCGGCAGAGTAGGGTTTGATCCCTGTCTTCTTTTAGATCTATTTCTTTTTCAGTGCATGAAAAACATAACACACCCGTTAGACCCACTGCAAAAGCCAATGCCGATCGATTTTCACTGTCATTGGTTGTTTGATGCGGATTAATCGAAAACGTGCGTGGGCAGCTCACTCAACCGAAACTAGAAACGAAACCGAATCGCCGGGAATTTAAGTCGTGTGGGACAGGCAAATATGACTGATAAAAAAACGTTTAACCAAGGTATGAGAACTAAGGCAGCGAAGCACCTTTAATTAGCCCCACAATTCAGGGAGTTTTTGTGGCGCCCAAGGTGTTGTGCCGATGTGGCCACAACAAAAACTCACCCACATACGGGGGAACTTTCCTAACACGAATTTACACCTGAGAGAGGATAAGTGGCAGTGGGGGAGGAATATTTTCTTCATTCATATGAATATGAACTACCGTTTTCTAAACTTTCTTCTATGATATCATTAATTTTAAGCTGAAATATTATTATTTTATTATTATCCACCCTCTAATTAACTTAACAAATGAGAGAAGAATCTTTAAACCTTTGCTTTCTATCTTTTTACTGTAAAACTTTAATATTCGATTGAAAACATGTTATAAATCCTAACTAATATTGGTTCTCAGATTGAAGACCAAGTATTTAACTGTTAAAAATTCAGGATTGATTGAGATTAAGAGTTGAAAACTAGGATTTCCATTTTTAATACTTAAAATTTCAAGGAATACCGTTACCAAAAGTTAGAACTTCAAGTAATTCCGAAATTCCAAAATCTCGGTCCTTAGATCCGTTCAATTTAGGGAATTTGGCCTGTGGTATAGACATTCGCAGTGTCCAATCCACCACCGAGTGAGAAGAGAGGCTAGAAAGGATGTTTGCCAGCCAGGGGACAACGGAATTCCGCAACTCACCTGTAAAGTCCCCGCCCCCTTCTCGGCTGCTCCGACTGCTCCTTGAAGTGCTACCGTGTACCGCTGCTATGGGAAAACTGAACCGATCCAATCCAATCGAATTACAGTTTTTCAACCGAAAAATTGGTGCATCGCCACGGTATGAGTGTGTTGGTTTTTGCAACTGTTTTGGGGCAGACGTTCCCGTTACTTTTTCCCGATTTCCTGTTATTTTCCTTCTTATTTTTTTTCCTCTCCTCTCCTGTCGTCACACTCACACACTCACGGGGGCAGACGCACACAAATGCAAACGCACATGCAGCGCTGGTGGAGTACCGTTAGCACAACCGTTAGCTTGCAACGACGCCCGAACGTGGACTGTCTGAGAATTTCGATTCCGGAAAGTTAGCAGGCGTTTTCCTTGGGAAAAGGGGGGCGGCGAGAGCGCGCCTGCGCATGGGATCCTCCGTCCGCATAGTTCTTATCAAACTGACGGAATTTACGCGCTCCGGTTGTTGTTAACGGGTATTGATTTTCTGGTTACTGCGGGCTGCGGAGTCGTTACTTTCTGTTAAACATAAGTTTTTTTGGCTTCTCTAAAAAAGAACACAATTCTACGCAACTTTCCAAGGTCTCGAAAGTGTTACTCTACATTCTACACTTATTAATAGTTTTCGAATAAACAAATAAACATAGCAGCGCTGCTAACAGAAAGCTGTAACTGTCGATAGAATATCGATAAAGTATCTGCAACACCTGACCAGGTGTGCCGTAATATCGATATCTTATTGGAGAAAAGTAACAGATATTTTGGTATATTTTTTTTAGTTTACTTGTGTAAAATTTTATATTACTAACTACTTGAAATAATTTGATAATATAATGATTAATTATTATATATTTTAGTTAATTATGACTCTTTTTTTGCTTATATACATATAATTCCATAATTAGTTTAACTTTTATGTATAAAAAATAAAAAAAACACCTATAAAATTAAAATAATGCGACAAGATTGTATTATTTTATACTCCCAGCTCATTTATATGTATTTATCTTATTTTCCACTCTACCAATTTTCTTAAAAATAAATCTTTATCGATTGTGAAGATGACATGACAAATCTGCTTAAAATACTTATAATTTGCAATTTCATTCCTTCAATTCAAATCAATTTAATTTTTGCGGCATTAACATTTAACATTTATGTTAGTTAACATAAATTTTAGTGATGTACAACCATTGATAGTCCCCATCGATAGCAGTAACAAAGCCATCAAAACATCGATGACCGAATATGGTATTTTACATTCTTTTTGGTATTTTATCAGCTCTTATTTTGCTCAACAGTATTTTAATTTTACGGTATTTTATGCCCCATCCCTGGAACGCGAGTAAAAAAAGCAGATTTCTCGTTTCCCTGATAAATTGTCAATAACTTTGCCCGTCGCGGATGCACGTTGTTGTTTTATTTCGCCAATAATATTGTTTGTTGTGCGCCGCGTACGCGAGTGTGTGAGTGTGTGTTCGAGTGGGTGTGCGTGCGTGTGTGTTTGTGCGGGGGGCCTTGGGTTGCCCCGAATTGCAAAGATTGCAAGAAAAGAAAAGAAGAAAACAGGCCAGGGAGAAAGGCCCAAAGGAAAATTGTGCAATAGTCGCGAAAATCGAAGGACTCGCCGCAGGACGACGACAATGTGAAGCTGCGGGGGGCGGCAACGGTAATCGGAATCAACTAAGCGAATCATGTGCCTGGCGGAGCAGCCGCTGAAGCCACCCAGTCGGAGCAGCACCTCACCCACATTCAATGCCAAGTACAGGCGAAAATGCCTGCTCCTCCTCACGCTGCTCCTCTTCCACGGCTGCTTCAGCGGACTCCACCGAGCGGCGGCCTTCAACTGCACGGCGCACGGCGGTCGCTGCCAGAACGACGGGCAGTGCCAGGAGGACGGCCAGTGCCTCTGCGCCGACGGCTGGCAGGGACCCGAGTGCCAGTTCTGCGGCGGAAAAGTCCGGTAGGTTATCTAGATCCGAAAAACCTATATAGGTGGAGGAAACTCTATAGCTCCTATACCCATAACAATTAATAGGGTGCAACCAGAAAGATAAGATCCCATAGATACAGTAGAACCTCCATTACAAAGGGATCTCACAATGTCAATAAATAAAGTAGAACCTCTAGAACAGCAGCCCCCTTTTAGAAATCATACACAGAAAAAAATGAAATTGATTTAGACCAGATACTTACAGTTTCCATCAGTGGTGGATCTAGGATTTTGTTGTGGGGGTGATATTAGAACAATTTTTAGAACAATTTTGTGGATCCGCGCATTGTTTCCATATATTTGGTATATAAAAATAAGATCCAAAAGATGCACATCTTTCAGTTTGATATGATCCAGTGTGGTGGCCATTTAATAATATATGTAAGAAAGTTAATTTTTTTAATTTGCAATATCCCGATATTAGAGTATATCGATCTTAAGTAAAAAAAAAATATTTGAAAAAATAAAACAAATATTTTCAATGGGATATCCCCAACAGAAGTCAATAGAAAGAAGTGATTTATGGTACACTACTTTAAGATACTTCCAATTAGAACTCTACTAAAATTATTCTAAATATTTTGATATCCTAATAATCCTTATTCCAAATCAAATGTTTACCTAAAATATGAAAATTAAGATTTTAATGACATGTCCCCAACAGAAGTCAAAAGAAAGTCAGTTTGAAGTGACACCACTGATAAAGACTTCCAATAAAAACTCTTTTAAAAAAAATTCTTATTCCAAATCAATTGTTTACCTAAAGTATAAAAATTCTGATTGCAAACTAACCAAATCGACATTATTATATCAAAATTTAAAGATTTAAATGTTTGACACATCAAATTGAAATGCTGGCAGCTGGTCAAGTCATCAATTTCATATCAATTTTTTCTTTCCCTGTGATTCATTCCACGTTATTCAATCAGATCTCCTCTACCTTTTTCGGCCCGGCCTATTTGTGTCAGGCAACGGTTCAGTTTCATCTGGTCGGACGGGTTCTTGGCCGGGTTTATCTCAACTCTCCACTCTCTACACTGCCCCATTCCCCGTCCACCATCCATCCATTTCTCCCGTTCTCTTTCTCCCATTTCTCTCTAAACATTCTTTCACCTGCTTTCCGCTTTCTACGCCTCCCGACGCTTCCAATACGGATTATTTAATTAGTTCTCTTTGACTTTGAACTTGTTTGGGGCAAAGGTTAGTGTTTTTTGGGTTCTGCTTTCAGCCATATGAGCTCCCTTAACAGATTTCTTTATTAAAAGGATAGATAAGGTTTATACCATACTCACTATGTTAAACCCATTTTAAATATCTTATCTGCGTCGAAACAAAGACTTTTATTATCTACTGTCAAGATTGCTTTGCACGAACCCCAATAAATCGAACCAGTTTTAAATGAGATTATAAAAAAGGAAATCATAATTTTATGCTTTAACCTTTATTTTTGTTTATTACCTATTTTCCACATTTATAGAGCCCTTTTTCATATCAATCCCAAATCTTTTTATAATAATACCATGATTTTGCTTTGCCAAACAATAAGATAACAGTTTTTTGCCAGACATAAAGTGATACTCAAAAATGGAGGTCAAAAAGATATTGTCGTTTTCACATGCGTGCATCTGTTATACAGATATTATATATAGATATATGCGAGAGAGATGTCGCTGGGCCAGTTGGGTTGCTCACGCTTTTAGGCTGGCGTCATAAAGCTTATGAAATGGTTTGTTTATGTTTCTTAACAACGGCTATTTGCTAGCGAAGCGCGATAAGCGAGCGTTCTATCTTGACATTAATTAAAGCCCCTCCAACTGCGTTGATGATGGGATCCGGGGACCCAGGGACCCGAGAATTTGCGCACTCGAGCATTGAGGTCGTCGTTTCACCTGCCACACCATCGAGAAACCAGTTTGTTCCATCGAGACCCCTGATCCCGACCTGTGGTAAATTGCTGTTTTGTTGGATCGCAGCTTTTGGCAGGCCATAAATTCCGGGTCTACACACTTGTCCGTTCCATTTGAGCAGCAGTGATAAGCGAACGACTTATCAGCTGTGTGTGTGTCCGCCTTATCGCCTGTGAATTTTCCTTCTATTTCGATTCTAGTCCAACTACACGATTCACCAATTCAAAAGGCCTTTTTGCCGGCTTACTATGCAAAAAGCTGGGGCAAAATCAAACTGGTTTTCCCCAGTCTCACTCCAAATGCATTCCAACCCATTGGCCACATGACGAGGGCGCCTATTCACCTACTCCGGCTCCCGATTCCACATATATCACATATAGGTAGCTCCATTTACCATCTCACAGCTCCAAAGCTGTGCGTAAGCTTAGCGCTCGAGTGCACAGCGTGACTCACCGGCTGCCAATGAGTGTGTAAATATATCTTTTCCCAACATTGATTTTTCGTGGCTACCGCTTGATGTGGTCCCAGTCCAGAACCCAGAAACAGGCACTGCATCCCGGCTGGACGAGTGTTTACTCAAAGTTTAGAACTGACCGAGACACAACGCCCACACGACGCAGTCTCCTACAGGCGCGGTCACAAGAATAGGGAGATCTGGAAAGAACAGTTCTTATAAGAAAGTCTAAAATAAAATCCTATAAGATCAAAAAATTTATTATAATAAAAACATGTAGAGAATTTGTTAATTTTTATTTACATAAATGGAAAATATAATTTTAACAAAAGAGAAATCCGTTTTAAAACTTCCTATATATATGGGCAATCCATATAAATAATCCACGAACAACCTAATGTCAGCTAAAATCATTAAACAGAATGAAAAACATTTATTGGTATGCTCTATTTCATATTTTTGACAAACAAAAATAATAAAAATGGGATGTCTGACGCCGGACAAAAATATACACATTTTTATGTGCTTATAATGAGTTGGTCATAGTTTATGGACGACAGAAAAACCGAAATATTCGCTTTAGATAAGCCTAGAGTGACTTATCGAATAGATAAACAAATAATTATGTGGTAAGGCCATAAAATGTTTGTTTCTCGTTGAAAGTGTTTTCCGAAAGCCAAAAAAAGCAGACATTTCTATTGTTTTGACCGCAACTGTTTTTTGTGTGCTATATGCAATGCTTATCGGCACTTGCTTGGCGTAACGTGAGTCGCATTTAGAATGCGGAAGGCTACTGGTTCCACTTTCTCCGAGTACACTGGCTATATGAGTTAATTGTTTAAGCTTGTGCAAATAAACAACTTGAAGGAGTTGGCAAAAGTTTCCTTTAAATGGTAAACAATTGTGATATAGGGTTTCACTTAAGGCGGCGGTTAAAAATGGAAATTATTATTAAGTTTGAATACGAATAAAACTTCAATAAATGTAATTACTTAAGGTCCTTTTAGAAGTCAAACTATCCCGTTCATTAATTCTTATATACACGCCTTTTTATCTTTGTTAGCCTACAAAGATATGGTGCTTTACTTTGTAAAAATCCCATTCTTTATCTAGAAAGTGCTTGTGATAAGTAATTATAAACTACTATACCAAAAGTTAGGAACTAGTTTAGGGTAAAGCAGTCAATAATTTAACTAATGAATATTCATTTTCGCTTTCATTAGCGCTTTTAGCTATAAATAATCTTCTCTCCTAACCTTTTAATTGAAAAGTTTAAAGATCAACTATTAAGAGCGTTACTGCAAGTACAAGCTAAATTTTAATTGTCATATTTGTAGAGATACTTGTACTGCGCTTTGTGTTCGCACAGCTGTAAATTGAAATCAGAGCGACTAAATCAGGGGAAAGCAGTTATTTATAAGCGGATGTGCAAACAAAACACTAAGAAAATAACAAGACAGACAAAGAAGGACTTTGCCAGGCAGGCGACTGTCGGATACCCTTATCGAGTTTCAAACTCTTAAGTTGTCACATTGCTCCCGCCAATACTGTCTTCCCGACATATTTCTGGTCGTAATCCCCGTTTACGGAACACAAAAGCCACCAAGAACTTGGCGAGACTGAGACTGCGATTGCCACCGAGTCAACAGTTGAGCGGCTTCACTTCGGTCAACACAACATACTACACAGAAAAAAATTCTATATGAAATAAGGTCATTTCTACCTTAGTTCGTATCAAATTTATGATTCACACATATCAATTTGATATTTTATCATATCAGTTATTTCATAGCTATTTCATTTAAACAAATTTCATAAAAATTTCTTTTCTACCTTAATTCATATCAATTTATAACTTAAGCATATCAACTTGATATTTTATTATATCAGTTATTTCATGAAAATTCTAAAAATACTGTGGTAAAATATCAAATCTAAAATAAGATAAACATAATCTTTATTCATATCGAAATGATATAAATGATATCAATATGATGTTTTGTCAATTTTTTTTCTGTGTACGTATTGCGTACTATGGCACACAGCCTGGTATTCCATCTCATATACACTCTGCCCATATCAATTGTAGATTGCAATTGCGCTGGCCGGCTGACCGGCAAATTCAATTATCTTCTCCCAGCATCGGGCTATTGCCATTTGCATACGTGCATGTGCAATGAGCAGCGCCGTCGCTGAACTATCGCTAAATCGATAGAGGAATTGATTTATTTTGCCACCTCAAAGCTAATGGATTTCCCATCTCTCCATCTTTCTATCTCCCCGCAGCATGTACCACCCGATGGGCACGATACACGATGGATGGGGAAACTATTCGGTGAGTGTCAAGTGCAGCTGGCTAATCGATGCCAGGCATCCGCACTGGAACCGCCGACACAACACCAATCCGTCGAGAGCGGCCAACATACGGATCCACCTGCGGGAATTCGCCACGGAGTGCGGCTGGGATCACCTGTACATATACGATGGGGATAGCGTGGACTCGCCCCTTCTAGCGGTCTTTAGGTGCGTTTGATCTCCCTTTACTCAAATTTATTTCATAACTAATCGATGGTTTCCCTTCCTTTTAGTGGCCTCATGTACCGCGGCAACTTCTCCATTCGTCGAGTGCCACAGGTGATAGCCAGATCCGGCACAGCTTTGGTGCACTTCTTCAGCGACGATGCCTACAACATGTCCGGCTTCAACCTCACCTACAAGATGAACGGCTGTCCCTCGGATAGCGATGGTATGCCCTTCCAGTTATCTTTAATTTGAAGAGAAGTTGTTATGTTATTATACCATTTCAGAGGAGGAGTGCTCGGGCCATGGCAAGTGCCACGATGGCGACTGCATCTGTGATCCCATGTACAGGGGCGAAGCCTGCAACATTGCCGCCTGTCCCAACAACTGCTGGGAGTCCAAGAACCAGGGACATTGCCGACCCGACCAGGAACGGTTAGTTGGATCTATATATTAAATAGAAGTCCTTTCTGATTTTCACGTTCATATTTATTTAAAGATTTTAATTTGTTCGCTTTGCTATAATATTATCCCTGAGATTATTATGTAATACAAACTTAAAAGCCCTGTGAATTGTTTACGTTTTGTATAATTGTATTTTCCCTGTAATTATTGTTTAAAGCACACTTAAAATTCCTTTAAAATGAATACCTTCAAGGCGTTGTATTATTTTGTTTTTTGCACAGATAATAAAATAGAACAGTAAATATATATATCAGCACATTGAATACAAAGAATACATAATTTAATAATTAAATACAAAACGTTATATTTAAGACCAAAAATATTCAATTTAATGTAACCAATATTTACTTTAAATATTTAACGTCATTAAAAAAATAATTTCAAGACAAAGTTTAAAACAATATATGAAAATCATAGCGAAAAATATTTAAATTAAATTTTTCATCTTTTGATTTACTTTGTTTTTCCCCTCAACCACTATCTATAGTTAACTGGTTGTCACTCTTCCAAATTTAGAATGCAATTACTTGCCCGAGTATCTTAATTAAGTGTAAACTAGAGTAAGCTAAATCAGAAAAGGGAGCCAAATCAAGTTTAAACTAAAGCTATGTGAATTTTCAATTACTCATTAAACGTTTTACATTTTCCCTCACAGCTGCTCCTGTTACGAGGGCTTCGCCGGCGATGACTGCAGCCAGATCAGCGCCCACGGCGCCTGGTCCACGGTCCATCCGAAGCACTCGCCGGCGCCGGCGGGCAGCGCCTCCCATGGCGCCACCATCTGGCGCGACACCCTGCACATCGTGGGCGGCGAATCCTACGGCCGGGGGGAGCTAATGAGCACCTATGACTTCAATCGCAACGTCTGGGCGACTGTGCAGCCGGAGGATGGTGGCGAGGTGCCGGATAAGCGTTACGGCGCCTCCACGGTGATGTACGGCGACAAGATCTTCATGTATGGCGGTGTGGTTAATCACACCCACAAGGGCTTTAAAGGCCAAGGCATCTCCAATGAGCTGTGGGCCTTTGATGTCTCCGCACGAACCTGGTCAAACATCTCGGTGCGAGGGGATTCGGCTTGCAACTCCACTGGAGGAGCCATCGCCATGTGCGGACCCCTGCATGTGGCGGGTCACACGGCCACCTTGGTTCCGGGTTACGGGGACAAGCACAACTTCCAGTACATGATTGTGATCTTTGGCCACTCGCCGCAGTACGGCTACCTCAACACGGTGCAGGAGTTTAACTTTGCGACGAGGGAGTGGCGTATAGTGCCCACCACTGGCTACGTGGTGAAGGGCGGCTATGGTCACAGTGCCGCCTACGACTTTCTCACCGAAAAGGTCTACGTTTATGGCGGCATTGTCTCCGAAAGCGAATCCAGCCAGGTGCTGAGCTCCCGGCTGTATGCCTATGAGCCGGCTACTCGCATTTGGAGTCTTCTTTCGGCGGCGCCAAGTGCTCGTCTCCTGCACACTGCAAACTTTGTGAACCAGGGACTGATGATGGTCTTTGGCGGCAACACCCACAACGACACCTCGCAGAGCTATGGTGCCAAGTGCTACAGCCAGGATCTCCTAGTCTACGACGTGTACTGCGACTCGTGGCACTATCATCCGATGCCGGGCCACCTGCAGGCGGATCTGGCCCGCTTCGGCCACAGTTCGGTGGTGTTTGAGGACTCCCTGTACATCTACGGTGGTTTTAATGGTCAGCTGCTGAGCGACATGCTGCGCTATCAGCCGGGATACTGCAGCTACTACACCAAGCAGGAGAAGTGCACGGCAGCGCGGCCGGGTGTAAAGTGCATCTGGGATGTGCAGAAGATGCGCTGCATTGCCATCACACAGGTCCAGCGATCGGCAATATATGGACGCGAGCAGTACGACTACGTGGCCTGTCCGTCGAAGAGTAGGCTCACGCTCACCTCGGAGCTGCTGCAGGATGTCCACCGCTGCCAGGAGCTGGCCAGCTGTCAGTCCTGCGTTTCCACCGCTTTTGGTTGCACTTACTGCGGAAATGGTGTGTGCAGCAAGGAGAGGTGCAGGGAAACCACCTCAATGGCCTCGGTTTTCTTTGAGTCCTCCACGCAGCAGGCAGTTTCTACTGTGAGTCCCCCGCTGAATGCCAAGCATTTGGACTCGTGTCCCATTGCCGAGGAGCATCTGGTTAGCTCGGTGTGCGAGCAGCTGCACAATTGTCGCGCCTGCTCGGCCAACCTGGCCTGTCGCTGGGACTCGGAGCAGAACCGCTGCCGCAGCTACACTTTGTCAGGCATTGGAATGTCCGCCAACCGGACCCAGGATGAGGTGGCCTGCTCGCCGGCCTGCGCCACGCTGACCAACTGCCAGAACTGCACGGAGGACGAGTGCATCTGGTGCCAGAACGAGCAGCGCTGCGTGGATCGCAATGCCTACACGGCCAGCTTTCCCTACGGGCAGTGTCGCGAGTGGACCACTTTCACGGCCAAATGTAGATCCACTCCCATGCAAACGACGGCGCTGACTGTGGGCAGCACGACGGCGCTTTCGAGTGCCCAGTGCGGCTACTACAACAGCTGCCAGATGTGCCTGGATGATCCTGCCTGCGGATGGTGCGACAATGGCTCCAATACGGGATTGGGAAGGTGCGTGGTTGGAGGAGCACTTTCACCCTACGACAAGGAGGAGTGTGCGCTGAAGCACTGGTTCTTCACCTCCTGCCCAAGGTGCAATTGCAACGGGCATTCGTACTGCAATGACCAACAGCACTGCGAACAGCCTTGCAATAATCTAACGACAGGAGCGCATTGCGAAAAGTGCCGCACGGGATACTGGGGTAATCCAATAAACGGCGGGAAGTGCCAGCGATGCGATTGCAACGGGCAGGGCGTCTATTGCCATCCGGACACCGGGAAGTGCTTCTGCACCACGAAGGGCATTGTGGGCGATCACTGCGAGAAGTGCGACTCGCAGAATCATTACCACGGCGATCCGCTGAAGGGCTCCTGCTACTACGAGCTGACCATCGACTATCAGTTCACGTTTAATCTGTCGAAGAAAGAGGACCGCCACTTTACGCAGATCAACTTTAGGAATTCGCCGGGCAAGCCGGAGATCGATGCTGATTTTACGATCACCTGCAGCGTGCCGGCCAAAATGGACATCTCGGTGAAGAGGGCCGGCTCGCCGGACATGCTCATCCTGGTGGGCGTCAACTGCTCAACCTTCCGTCATCGCTTCCCCAAGACGGACTACCAATTTGGGCACTCGCCCGACGACAACAGCTCCCTGACCACCTTCTACGTCTTCGTGCACGACTTCCAGCCGCCTATTTGGATTCAAATTGCCTTCTCACAGTATCCCAAGCTCAATCTGCAGCAGTTCTTCATCACATTCAGCTCATGCTTCCTCCTGCTGCTGCTCATGGCCGCCGTCCTGTGGAAGATCAAGCAGAAGTACGACATGTTCCGGCGACGCCAGCGATTGTTCGTCGAAATGGAGCAGATGGCGAGTCGACCGTTCTCCCAGGTGAGTTTTTGAGATGACACCTTGATTTTTATAGCCTCTAATATTTATTTTTCACAGGTGCTGGTCGATATCGAAAACCGCGAAAGTATTGATCTGAGTCTGACGCTGGAGGGCATTGGCCACCTGTCCAAAAAACGCAAAAAGGTGGGCGAATCAATCAAATCAAGTCATAAAGTTGTGAGACGGCTTAGCGGGATGTATCCATATAAGAAAATATGTCAGATAGATTCTTAAAATAATTTAAGATCAACTTCTATAAACTTGACAGATTACTCCATAAACTAACTTAATAATCTTTATATCCAACTTTATGGATTCATTATTCAGAATTTAAAATTGTCAATTTTCCTTTAATATCATTGATATGGGTTTCTTATTACAATTGGGAACCACCTACTATAAATTTGACTGACATGAGCGATTGCACTAGATAAATTTATAAAATGATACAAATACCTATCCTAAAAGGTACATCTCAAGAAATTTTCAGATCATTTCTGAACATTAACGATTTGTCTTATCAAATCCTTGTATTTATTTCCCATTCACTTAAATAATTTCTTAAATCTTAAATGTTTCATCAAATCCTTGTAATAATTTCATATATTGGATCTTAAATTTTAAATGTTTTAGATCATTTCTAAATCTTAAATGTTTTTTTCAAATCCATGTAATAATTTCACATTTATTTAGATCATTTCTTGATCTTAAATGCTTTATTAAATCCTTGTAAAAATTTCACATTCTTCTCAACTGCGCTTAACATCTCCATATATACCTAAATACAATATCCTAAAATGAAACTAATTAAGTTTTATATTCCCAGGAATGCCCCAGTCCCATTGCTTTGGAGCCTTGCAGTGGCAACCGAGCCGCTGTGCTCTCGCTTCTAGTCCGGCTGCCCACGGGTGAGGATGAAAATTAATCCCTTATCATATATATTCGTAACTTATTCAACTCCCTTACCCACAGGTGGCCTTTCGCAAGCGCCGTCGGGTCAGTCCGCTGGCCTGGCCGTGGCCAGCGCCTTAGTCACACTGGGCAATCCGCGTCGTCCGTCAATCGATCAGCATCCCAAGGAGCCAAAGTCGAAGCGCAAGCAGAGCCAGCACCCAGACAGTTGTACATAATAACCGTAACACTATGCTTACCTACATAAAGTAATAATGATAACGATAATGATAATAATTACGATAATATGTAACTAGCGAATAGGTACGAGTATATAGAATATTTGCCCCGACTTTCTTCTACTAACCACAAACAAACACACACACCACACAAAAGGCAAGCTTGCAAGTTGATAATCCGCAGTTATTATTACTTTAATGCATTAGACTAGTAACGAAACGAGAAAGCGAGAAGGAAAGAAACAAATAATAATAATTTTTAGCAAAAGGACATATTTATATACGGTTATATACAATTTGATATAGTTGATAGGTCGAGTAGCGTTGCAATAGTTATAAATGTTTAATTTATTATTTATACCGCGTACGTGTGAGCTAAGTTCGATGGCAACAGCAGCTGTATTCAAATTATTAATGTATTTTTTTTACTTAACCACATAGCCTAAGCGTGTTGTTAGAATTTATTTATGCAAATTTTGTGCGCTGCCTCGGCAGTAGCTGCACCAAAAAGCCGCGACAGTGTCAGAGTCAAAAAAGTAAATAACAAAAAAGACAAAAAGTGATGAACAAAGCCAGATAAAAAGCGATAGATACATGTACAAGGAGCTAGGTGACCGAGACATGCAAAATACTGTGTTCAATAATAGGAATATTTCTGTTTTTAATATCCGTGCAAATATTTACAACGCAAGACAAAGTGGATCAAGACATAGAGACCGAATAAATGCAATTGTAAATAAGATACGTAAATTATGAACGCTATATAGTTAGTAGTTATACATATACAAGTAGCTCTTGATATGAGGACGCGCCCAAAACAAATCAAACGATTAAATTGTACATGCAATCTAGATGATGAGATCCAACATTTACCAAAATTCCAATTAAATCACAAACTAATCGTAAGGTTTCCTCTTGGCAGCAAAACGAACAGAACTCACACAGTTATTAACTCGATAATTCAAACTAAGACAAGTCACACCAACTAACTAGATGCACTAACTCTCTGTAATACAAATCCAGTAAAATGGAACAACCTCTAGAATCAAAAGGCACTCGTCAAAAACTTTAACTAACACCTAGAGATCTTTTAAGAACACTCACACAATCTTTCCAAGTACGATCGCTTCGGGTTAGCAGACAGACAATTGTAAATCTATTTCATTTGTTTTTTAATTACAATCTAATAAAGTCCATTTACGAAATTTAATTTCAATTGTAAAATGCGTTTAGAGACATACACACTTAATATTATAAATATATAGATACTTGCCAACCCAGTTCCAAAAAAACACCCGAAAGAAAGAACCGAAATAAACAAAAAGACGAAGATAATAACAAACCCTTCGAAGACTTGTTTGAAATGACCCCTGACCGCAAACAGCAGCAGCAGCAGCAAGATATACATAGATAAAGAATCATATATTAGTTTATTAACCAATAAAAAGACACTCCAAATGTAAGCAAAGTGAAGTGCTCTTGTTTTCATTACTCTTTGTACTCTATATGGCTGTGGATTCCAGTTATCCCAGGCATTTTCATTTCACAGAACTTTCACTTTCGGCAAGGGGCACAAAAAAACTTGGGGGCGCGGCTGCATGGCCTGATAAACCGGGTAAATGTGAGTGGTTCGGTTTATTCAGGTCGAAATTCGATTGGAGGGGCTCCGTAGAAGCTCTGTTTCACGTACGCGGATGTTGATTGTGATTTGGGTGGCCCTTTCCTGCTTTCTTTACACAGAAAAAAAAAAATTGACAAAAGATCAGATTGATATGTGCTGGTCAATTTTATAGTTTTAAAGTTCAAATTGAAAAAAAAATAATATTTGAATGTTAATTTTTATTGTTTTTTAAAAAAATACTACATTTTATATTTTATATGATATGATAAAATATCAAGTTGATATGTTTGAATCACAAATTTGACATAAATCTTATCATATTGATATGACAAAAGGTGGAATTGACCCTATTTCACATCGAATTTTTTTTCTGTGTATGGGCACATCATTTTCGAACATCTTTGGCCATTTGTGCCGCTTTTGTGTCTCGATATCTCTCCAAGCACCGCATTTAATTTAATGATGACGATTTTATTAATGAAATTAAAGAAGAAAGCCGACAGCAAAAGCGTGCGAAATCCGAAACGAAGCGGAAGTGCCCATGCCCACCAGAGATCTCTGTCAAAAAAAACATCCATCAGACGAATACCGAATTCAACGCCCTTGATTGCCTGCATTGACGTAGTGATATTATGGTTAAGATATATATATTTTGTGCATACCCAAGTTGAGTCAGCCGATGTGCGGGTATACGGTTTTACCCACCGTCAAGCTAATTCTGGCCCACACGAAGGCCAACACGCACTAGGTTAAGTGAACTATTGCGCTTCATAACAAATAATAATAATCAGCTGGAACCGATCGTTATGAATCAACGGTGGAATGCCCCGAAAGCTGAAGTTTAAGCCCAGAACCAAAACAGCAATGTTTGGAATGGAATTGGAGCATGAATAAGTGTCCACATATGGGAGGAACCCACAAAAACCCAACCAGCTACGCAGCATATTTCAAAATTCCCCATTAACAACAGCATAACAGCTTTACAACTTCCAGACAATGGGGCATACATTAATTGCTTTGTTGTTTGGGGGTTGCTAATTATACAAAAAAATATTAATAATTTTATTATTCAAATGGCGGTTAATGTATTTGGCAGACCTAAAGTATATGTGCGACCCCGTTCTTAATTCGGTTAATATAATGTTCCCAATGTTCTCAATTCAGATTGATCTTTTAATCGTTTCCGGAGAACTAAAAACCTATTTTCCAGCCATTTTTAAAGTAGAACAGCAATTTGGATCCCTGGGAACCTACCGATTTTAGTCATAAACTGTTTAATTTTCAACGGAATGGGGGAATAAAGAAATATTTCTTTATAGATGTGTTTCATTTTGAAAATATACAATTAGTACAATGGATGTTATTGATTTTAAAATGATTGTACAATGTACATTTTTAATACATACTATGTAGGTTATATCAATTAATAAAACTCTTTATTAAGTTCAATTTTGTGTATAGATCTTACTTAATTTTTCTGAATTCTTAAAGATACCTATGGAAATGAAAATATAGAAATCCCCATTTTTAAAATTCTTAATATTTTATAGTTAAAAAGGTTACAATTTTAAATGAAATGTAAGATAAAATGTTTGTGCGTTTTACACTTTTTCATAAATGGAGTAGCTTTTTTTAAGTAAGCCTTAACAGTTAATTGGTAATAATCTTCTTCAAAAATTTAAAGGCTATTTTTAGAGTAAATAGTTAATAGTTTGGTATTTTTTAACAAGCCGGCCTTGCGCATGCGCATAACCCTCCAATGCGTCAGAGGCTTTTGAAGTGAGTTAGAGCTCGGCTTGTTTTGGTTTTTCAGTTTTTGGATTTTGGCAGTTCGTGTCGCAGCCGCAACAAGTTCGATCGAACCAGCTGAGCCGTCTCTTGGCCAACTTCCCCAACTGGGGAGCTACTAGGCCGCCGCGAAGTCTTGCCAAAGCTCAAATGCGCAACGCCCGTCGATGAGGTAGCACGCGAATTTCAATTGCCGTGGATCCAGTAGCTTAAAAAATTTTCAAAACGCGAGAGAGTTTTTTGCAAAAGTGATCGTAGTGAAAACCGAATTTGGCACAAAGTTTCTGCATAAAATATCTGTGTGTGTGCCCAGTGAAATTTCAGTGAAAATAGCTAATTTCATCGGCCAGCTGTGCACCTGGATTAAAGCACATACCGCTGGAAATTGAAACCGAAAACGAAACCAAAGCCCAAACTCAATCAAATAGTTTCACTTTATATTGGATTAGCCGCAGCATCATCTCAATTAAACAGGTTTGTTGAGCAACCGAGGGGAGAGCTAATTGAAATTGAAACCCGAGCTTTAAGTGCTCCTCGTAAAAGGTGTCAAAGGTGGGTAACGAACATTTCAATCATTCAATGAGCCTACGCTAATTGAAAGCTCAAGGTGAACTATTGGCATTTACGATTGATCTCATCGATTCTCCGAAATAACTGGAATAACCAACGCAAGCAACGCATTCTGTTCAAATATTTTGCTCATTACGAAATTATGCCAGAGTACTGGGCTTCAAAAGTTCGACATGCGCAATTTAAACGGCTTTAAAAACTAAAAACGAGTGAGCCAAAGAAGAAACGACATTAACTGCGCACCAGTCCAAGCCGAACCGTTAGGCGTAAGCCGAAAAAACCATTTCGCAAGTGTGGTCTAACTGAAGTTAACTGTAGCTGCAACTCAAAAAGTGAAGAAAAAAGTTGGCAATAAGCCAGGGCAGCCAAGGGAAAAGAGCCAAAAATACCTGTATGACTCGCAGTTGGACTTTAAAGTGGAACATTCGCAATGCTGGGTTCCCAGGGGAAATGGCGATGGTGATGGGCTCAGGGTTCAGCACTCCGGTGATCCAATTATAGATAGTTCCCAATGTGCTCTTCACTCAGGTGCTAACCTTTGCCAAACTCTGACTTAACTGCTTGTTAAAGGGTGACTGCGTTAAAAAGTAAGCCATAAAAGGGCAAAAGTCAAGGAAAAAGGCCAGATATGTAGATATATGAGAGTAAGAGATCAAGGCATAAATATTCAAATTTTGATTACATATATTTTGAAATATTTGATGACATAATTTAAACTGTAGGTAAAAATATAACCTCTAAATTGACTTAAATTCGGATCATTTTTACTTCGAAATAAAACCAATAAAGCTTTGTTTAACCGATTATAATCAAACATTTATATAAAATAATAACTTATGATATCTTCTACTTTAAAATTCCAACGTTAAGTTGACTCAAATTTTTATATTTTTTACTTTGAAATAAAAACCGTAAAATTTTTCTTATTCCATCAATAATAATAAGTTTTAACTTCTTTAAGAATTAATAAAAATAAAATAATATTTGTAATCTAATTTTTCAAGAAATTTTTTGCTCCATACAAGAACTGTAACTTTAAGAAAAGTTTTTCAGTACAATGTCTCAGAGGAAAATCCTAAAATCCGTCTTAAAAGACTTACAGTTCGATTTTGAAGTGGGATATTTGAAAATCCCAGTTCCCAGAGGATTAAAGGTTGAGTACTCGCACTCGCATAATAGGATTACAAGTATTACCAAGTGAAGTGCTTTGAAAGCAAAGCCTCCATGAAATCCCTTCAGTTATGCGGCACCCAAAGCCTCCGCTCCCCGCAATCGCCCATCGACTGACACATGTGGCCTCGTTTCACCAATCATTTAACTTTACACTCTAGTAACTTTACCCAAAAGGCTGGCAGGGTCAAGACTTCCATCGCAGGTCGCCCAACTGCAGTACCCACAACCAATTAGCCACACTTGACTCCTCCTCAATGACAAACGATAATGCTGAGGTTTTTTTGCTTGCCGAGGTGAAATCTTTGGCAGGCGCGCCCAAGTTTTGGCCCAAGTTCAAGTCACCAGGCTTTCGTTTTGCAGTGAAAATGCGGCTGGCCTGGTTTTTCCACAGCCAAAAAGCATACAAACTTGCCGTTTTTCGTGGGTTTTTTTCTCCCCCTTTTTTATTTGGTTTTTCTGTACGCCAGTTCCGTGTTGTTGAATTTTCATTGTGGATCGACCAGGTGTTGGCGAGTTTTCATGTTTGGCCATTTGCAAATGCGGCCACCGGCCATTGAGAAAATTGAGAAAATGATTCACACACACGGTTTTCACCCAAAACAAAGAAGCAAACAAAAGACTTAGGCCACAAACTTTTTTATATTTTTTTTGTAAGAGTATTTTTTTGGAATGGGATGCATTATATAATTACCTGCGTATAATGAGGGAAAATCCTCGGTGTCATTAAGATGTGGAAATGGTCAGGGAGCTAAAAGCATCTGAGCCATTTTCAATGGACCGGAAAACGCACGCAAAAGTGAATTTTTGAAAAAGACGAAAAAATAAATAAAAATAAATGATGTATAAAGTTGACTGGCTGTGGTAGCTGTTTTTGTTGGCAAAGTGAAAGCGCAGCGACGTCACACTCATAAAAATATTTTTCTACATTTTAGAAAATCGCCCTAAAAAATTTTTCGCCTTTGAACTGAGAAAAATTTTCTATTTTCACGACAAATTTGCCATAAATTTAAGGCAGGTGACCATAAAAAAATATTTTTAGGGTTAATTTTTCTATTTTTCTAATATTTAGGGCGGTTTTTTTCGATTTGCTTCGTTTTGACCTTTTCTAAATCCAACGGCGAATTGCCCTAATTTTTTTTCTAAAATTTTTCTAAATACAAGGGCGATTTGCCTTAAAAATCACTCCAAAAATGTGAAATTCGGTAGCCCAGCGGTCTAATCACTTGCGCTTTCAACTTTGCTATATGAGGACTAAGGTTGTGGGTTCGAACCCTGTGTGATTCAACTTGATTTTTATGTTTTTTTTTTTTGTAAACATTATAATACTGAGGACATTTTTTCGTCCGAATTTTAAATTAAAGTAGTCTTTAAACCTTAAAAACGTATGGGAGTTCTGAGTTAAAAGCATACTTTATACGGTTTAGTTGCCTTTAGTCATATTATAACGTAGACCTCAAGAAAATAAGATATGTGCAGAGTTTGTTCGTCGTCTTGCGCGATGGGTCTGTGGTGCAGCGTTAGGACGTTAGACTCTAAACCGAGAGGTCGTGGGTTCGATTCTCGCAATGACCAAAAAAAGTAAGTTGTTTTTTCTCCTCATATTTATTTCCCTAATTCGTTTACAAACATGATTTTTCAGTTCTAACGGCTGTTCTGTATAGATCGGGCCCCCCTCTTAGCGCAGCTCCCATATAAGCTACACACCAATACAACAATAAGAAACGGTGTCCTCCGCCGGTTTTGTGTAATTAAAGCAGTCCCAGTTCCCAGAATATACACGATTAAAAAATACATGCTTCCCAAATTCAGTTAAGCATGCTCAAACTCGAATTTTTTTAATTTGTCTAATTTTTTAGGGCATTTGCCTTTAAAAACAGAAAATTCGCCCTTAATTTTAGAAAAATACACCTTAAAATTAGGGCAAATCACCCTAAAAAAAGGAAAATATTTCTTATTTCAAGAAAAATCACCCTAAATTAAACCAAATTTCCATCGGGATTTTTTAGAAAATTTTTCTAAATACACGGGCGAATCGCCAGCGGATACGATTTATGGGCGATTTTCTAAATCCACGGGCGAAAAGTCAGTTTTTTAGGGCGATTTAGGGTAAAAATTTCTATGAGTGCAACGTCAGCGGCGATGTCTGCGCAGATTAATCACCCGGCCGTAAAGCGAAGACAGTTGGGCTCCTCAAAAAACGAAAAAAAAAAAACGAGAAAAAAAGGAAGCCAGTATTTCGTTGGGTTCGTGACCCCCTCAAGATTATCTCCACTTTTTTTCAAACATATCTCCATGTTACTGTTACGCAATTCTCATCGCTTTGAATTCTTTGCCGCGCCCCGGAAAAAAAGCAGATGCAAATGTATGCCCGACCGCTTTTGATAGTGAAAGTGTCTAGCTGAAATTTGAATCTCACGGCTTGTGACGTCAAACGCACAAGCTTAGCCGGAATACATACATATATTACTCACGCACTCACACGATCTCTCTGTCTTTCTTTTTCTCGTATTTTCTTACAGCTGGCAACTCGCGGATGCCCGAAAATGGCACACTATGATCAACGTTGGCTGAAACTCTTCTCCGGCTGCCTTTTCCTCCTTTTGCTGGCTCTGCAGGTTTCAGAGGCCAAGCGATCAAATGGTGAGTGCACAGCAACAAAATATATATAAGAATTTATGTAACAAAAACCATTATTTTAAAGTGAATTTAAGTAAACAATTGATTAAAGAAACCAGACAGAAAGCAAATCATAAGTCGTATTTTAAATAAAATACATACATTTTCAAGGTTTAAACCTTACTTTAAATTTAACATGAGCAAGTTAATATAACATTTTTAATAAAAACAATATTTTCTTAAATGTGTAGATACAAATAAAGAAATGCTAGGACCGAAATTTAAAGCTTATTCTCTGTTTAAAAAATATAGAAATTTTTTAAAAGAATTTCTAGATATTTTAAACAGCTTGTGTTGTTATATCACATATCATACTTCACAAAATATGTATCTAACATAATTCCCCTGCTTTTATTGCTGTGTAATGCCAAACTGACGGGGTTGAAGTCAATGACTTCTTGAGCCAGAACGTTATATTTTTCCTTTTCGCTCTGTTATTCTGTTATTTTTGGCAAAAGGCAGTCATTGAACCCGCAACGGGGGAATGTGTACCATTTGGTGGCTCATTAAATGCCCGGGTTGCAGCTGCATAATTAACGTGACGTGTGGAAATTCGTGTAGAACTCCACGATGTGTCTGGGTGTGAAAAATGTGAAAAATGGCACGGCATCATTAAAAAGCGCTTAGCTGCAAAAAAAAACGAAAAACTACGCCAGCCACCGTTAAGAACTGCGGCAAAAGGGAAACAAAGCCAGACGGCTTCTAAATGCAGCCGCAAACACACTGTGTCAGTCGGTCAAAAGAGGTCTCAGACCCACAAGCACCACAACCCAACTTAAAGCCACAATGGGCCAGCAATTCTCTAGGTACTTATACTTATACCAGTTTGCCGCTTTAATTTCGTTTTCGTTACGGTTCTGTTTTATACTCGTTTTTTCTCTGTTTTTATCTCGGCGAGCGGAAGCCGAAACGAAAGACTGAAGCGACAAACTCGATTTTTGCCTGGGTGGCGAGAATAAAAGTCGCCTGCAAATAGCCGTTGTTTTTCTGCCTGATTTTATTCATCATTCGGCCAGCTTTAATTGCCAGTTGCCCGACGACTTTTGCCTTTTTGTTGTTTTTTCATTCACCACTGAAACCGAAAGCCATTTTCATTTCTTTTTTGTTGCTGTCTCTGCTGACCAAACGGCAAATACAAATTGATGGCCAACTCGAGCTCGAGGCGCTGCCAAAAAAAACTTTCATTCAATTTCTAGCGAAAACTCCAGAAAAATAAAAGCAACGGCCGCACAGTGAAGGCAGTGAAAAGTAAATAAAATAAAAATAAATATTTCGGATGAGCCAAGGCGGATGTGCGGCGAAAAAAAGAAATCTCCGTGTGATAAGTTCAGCGATTACTCAGCGGTTGCACAGTCAAAACTTGCTTTGTAAAATGCATGCCGAAAAAAAATTAACTTTAATGATGGTTAATCGGATCTTATTTCAGAAAGAAATAATAAAGATAATTAAACTGATAGGGGAAATATGGTATTGATATGGTATAATATTAAAGTGAAGTTAGTCGGCTTAAATATTTATTAATTTAATATTTTCTCAAATAAATCTATGCTTTAAAATATAAAAATACTAATATAAAATTAGAAAAATTTTGGTTTTTTCTTTGTTTTTTTGACAAGATAATAAATTATTTTTAAACAATACATACAATTCTTTAAAAATAAAATAAATGCCCAATTGACTTTGAATTCATTTTCGACCATTCCACTGAGTATTTCGATACTTTCGACGGTGCACATACGTTTCTGGTACTTTTAAAGCCGTTGACAATTGCATAATGGCTGATGCATTAAAAATATATCGAAAGTGCATAGGAAGTGACCAGCAATAACGACTGCAATTGACGCAACTAAAGCTGAGCTGTCGCAACCCCAGCGAAGTCATCGTTGCGTGCTGGACAATAAAAGGGAAAGGGGGAGGGTAAATTGGGGGCGCGATGATCACTCACTTTAATTGCATAACCCGGTCGAGACAATGGAATGAATGGCTCTTCCCAAAAGCAGAATGCTCATAGCATCCATGCCCAGCCGAAAACCATTTGAAGCGAATTGCTTATACGCCTCGTGGACGCAGCTATTCGCATACAAAGCGCTCCATTTCAAGCTGACCATGGAGCAACCAAAAAAAAAACAGCTGCAAATGCCTGGCATTGTAGCCCCAATTTCAGCCACTCCATTTTGTATATTTAATTTCAATTTCGCACTTTTCATAGACTCTGGGTTTTATTTTTTCTTCACCGCACGCGTCACGTCCCAAAAAAAACTAAAAGTGAAATTGTCGTAGCTGGGATTCGGTAGTTGAATAACACGAAAGTATGTCAAATGTTGTTTTTCTCTCTGAAAAAAAGAAAATAAGTATAGCAGAAAACAAAATCAGTTACTAATGAGCTATCAAAAAATATCTCTGACATTGAAAAAAAAAAAAATTGATTGAGTTAGAATAAAATATTTAAAATGTAATAAATATTTTTCTATTACACATATTAATTTAACATACAGGTTTTAAATAAATCAACATGAGAATAGTTCATTTAAACTTTTTGTAATGGGTTTTCCCATATTTTATATTAATTTATCATGAATATTTTTAAAAAATCAACAAAAGTATATTTTATGTAGCTTACTTGTCAAATGTATATTAAAAAAGTTATTTCTGTCACTAAAAAAAAATATAACACATAAAAATATCAGTCTAAAATATACTAAAATAAATTGATTGAGTTTTATAATATAAACAGGTTTGAAAATGTAACAAACGGGTTTTCATTAAATTATTAAACTATAATGAAGGTTTTTTAACTATAAAGAATGTTTTTTAATATAGAAATATTTAATATATTAATTTTTTATTATACTTCTAGTATAATTTTATGATTTTCGAATATTTTTACCATCAAACATTGACTAACTTTATAATATTTTCATCTCTTATAGCCAATCTCACGGCCTGCCAGCACTTAAGACGCTCGGAAACGAGAAGAGCGAAGGCCCTGCAATCGGGATTGGAAGGACCATCGATTCGAGTACCTCGCTGCCAAAAGAACGGTGACTTTGACACGATCCAGTGTCAGGATGAGAAAGCTGGCCGGGATTGCTGGTGTGTGGATGACTACGGCGTGGAGCTGCCAGGCAGTCGGAATGAAACTCGATCCGGAGTGAGTTGCTCGGAGCCAAAGCACTGTGCCGCCTCCGCGTGCCGCATGTTCTGTCCCTCGGGATTCGCTAGGGATACCGAAACAGGTTGCTCCGTCTGCCGCTGCCGGGATCCCTGCGATGGCCTGGAGTGTCCACGCGGCCAGTCGTGTCAGCTGCAGGAGGTGCAGTGCAAATCGGAGCCCTGTCCTCCACTCCCGACCTGCAAGAAGGCCAGATCACTGGCCAATCTCTGTCCCGCCGGCTTGCCTTTGGCCATTGATGATACAGTGAGACCCTTCCTTTGTGGCAAGGAACCAGGAAAGCCGCAGTGTCCTCCTTTGTATCAGTGCCTCGTGGAGTCTGGTAATGATTATGGCGTGTGCTGTCCCAGTGCGCTGACCTTCCAGAAACCGGGAGTCTGTCCTTCACCCGAGCAATCGCAGTACTCCGAACGCACTGGCTACATGTGTGGATCTCCCTGCTCCCATGATTTGGAGTGCAGGAATATGGAGAAGTGCTGCCTGACCAAGGGATGCCAGTTCAATTGCCAGCAGCCTGGAAATGTCACCGGTTGTCATCAGGCCAAGGCTCTCGCGGATATCCTGGCGATTAATGAGAGGGAGGGACGAGGCTATGTACCCGAGTGCAATGGTCCTGGAGGTCAGTTCTCGCCAAGACAATGCTCCCGCAATGGACTCGTCTGCTGGTGTGTGGATCCCCGAACGGGTCACAAGATCAAGGAGACCATGGGTGCGGCCAATAATGTAAACTGCGATGGTTGGGAGAACATGATCAGCAGGTCGTATGCCAGGAGCTTCCAGATGGAGCAGTGCGACACCAATATCTGCGCCGCCGTCTGCGAGTACGGATTCAAGGTGAGTTGAATAAACTTATTAAATGAAATAGTAAAAAAAACATAATTATATATTTTAACCAAATAAAAAAAAAATTTGATAATATTTTAATTAGGCTAAAAAAAATTGATTCAACATTCTTTATATTCATTTTTATTAAATAACAGAATATTTAATAAAAAAGAATTTAATTTTAACGTCAATATTTAAAATTCTTCAACTACTTCAAATTGTTAAATAAAATTTTAATTTAATTTTTGTCATATATTAGTCATATTTACTTTTATTAGTTAAGAATGTTAGTGTTAAGAATTCTTCAATTACCAAAAAATTTTAATTTTAATGTTTCCCTATTTAAATTCAATAATCCATATTTAGCATTTAAAATATTTTAATAGAGGTAGAAAATATTGCTTAAAACTTGTATTAAATGTAAAATTTTCCTATTAAAAATTAATATAAATAAGTCATGGAGTAAAAACATAAAATTAAAAGATTTTGAATGGCAATCTCCTTTAGAACGACCACAATGGCTGTCCCACCTGCGAATGCTCGGAGCCCTGCGACGGCTTCAAGTGCTCCATTGGCTCCCATTGCGAGGTGGCCACCGATCCGCTGTGTGAATCCGGCTCCTCTCTCTGCGCCTCCTGGCCCGTCTGCAAACCCGACCTCGTTTACTCCAATCCCTGCGACGTGGGCACCCCACTTTCCGACGCCGCCACCGGTGAGGTTATGTACTGCTTTGAGGATCGTCAGGGACGCAGCTTCCAGCCAACGGCCTTCTTTGAACCCGAGCCAGAGTCGCAGTCCAAGCAGGGTCGCTCCATGAGCAATAGGATTATGTGCCCGGAGCAGTACAAGTGCACCAAACTGCATCGCGAAACGGAGAATGTGTGTTGTCCAGTGCCGGAGAAAACAACTCCTGCTGAAGAGGCAACGGGAACGCATCAGCAAACCAGTAAGTTATCTCTGGATTGCCTAAAGTAACCTCTATTTAATCTTCATATAACCTCAATTTAATGTCTTTTTATTTCCATTTAACCTCTATTTAATATCCATATAACTTCCATTTAATGTGTTTTTAAAGTGCATTTAACCTCTATTAAATCTCCATTTAGTCTTCATTTAACTTCAAGTTATCCTCCATTCAATCACCATTTTACGTCCATTTAAACTGCATTTGATCTCCATTTAGTCTCCATTTAACCTCCTTTTAATCTCAAATTAACCTGCATTTAACGTCCCTTCAAGCTTTATTTAATCTCCATAAAAGCTTCATTTAACCTCTACTTAAACTTCACTTAATCTGTATTTAACCCCCAAATAACATATATTTAACTTCTATTTAACCTCTATTTATTATCTTATTATATCCATTTAAACTTAGTTTAACCTCCATTTAAAAATTATTTAACATCCATTTTATCTCCATTTAACCCCCATATTAGCTCCATCAACCTCGTTTCAATCTCCATTTAATCTCTATTTAACCCCCATATAACCTCTGCTTAACCTCCATTTAATCTCTTTTTACAGTGTGCGAATATTTGAGGGACTTTTCGGAACGCATGGAGGGCACCGAAGAGGGCATGCAGCTGGCGGTTCCCTCGCCACGTTGCACCACCGATGGCGACTACGAGGGTCGCCAGTGCCAGCTGAAGAAGATTAGGGTTACCCGCGCTGAACAACGCAAGATTCTCGAGGAGAACACCATTCGGCGGATGAGGATGCTGCTGGCCAGTGCTGCTCCCAGTCTACCCAAGCGATCGCGTCGGGATTTGGAACGCCTGAAGCTTTATCGAGTGGAAGATAGTGCCCTCAAAGTCCAGGTGGCTGCTCCCGTCATGGGTCGCAGTGCCAAGGTGATCGACATGGGTGCCGATCGCCAGCAGGGATTGGGTCAGCTCTTCGAAACGGAATTCAAGAAGGTAGCCTCGGCTTCTAAGCGACCCCCAGAGAACGAGGATGAGCTGGTGGAGATGGAAGTGGAGCAATGCTGGTGTGTTGATAGTTTTGGTACGGAGATTCCTCGCTCCCGGGCCTACAATGTCAGCGAGGATAATTGCCGGAGTTTGAGGGAGGATTTGGACTGCCTGGATCTCACCTGTCGCATGGGTTGCGAATATGGTTTTGCCCTGGATCCCGATACCCGCTGCCCGGCCTGCCAGTGCCGTGATCCCTGCGAGAATGTCGCCTGTGGCTCTGGCAAGGAATGCCGCGTGGTGGACGTGAGCTGCGAGGGTGAGTACTGCCCCCCGGTGCCCGCCTGCCTGCCCAGGAAGCCGGGACAGTGTCCTTATTTGGTTCCCCCGGGTCCCGATAACCTGGATGCCAACACCTGCGCCTACGAGTGCCGCACCGATGCCCATTGCGAGGGAGCCCGTCGCTGTTGCTCCAATGGCTGTGGCACCCAGTGCGTGGATCCGCAGCTGAAGACAGCCTGCCAGCATCTGCAGGCCATCCAGCTGCATCAGAGCTCCGAGCTGGGCATTCCCGCCCGTCAAATGGCAGTGGCCCAATGTGATCCGAAGAGCGGAAAATGGGAGCAGGTCCAGTGCTCACCCGATGGTCACTGCTGGTGTGTGGACAATCAGGGCAAGATTCTCCCCGGCACTCGGGTGAAATCTTCTGAGACGCCCAAATGTCAGGAGAACTCAAGTTACGCCTGTCCAAAGTCCAATTGCAGTAGCAGCCTTCAGTGCGAAAGTGGCTACCAAATGGACTCGAATGGTTGTCCCACTTGCGAGTGCAGAAACTACTGCCAGGAGGTGAGCTGCTCGGCGCACGAGGAGTGCCAACTGATCAACGTGGAGTGCGTGGACACCCCGTGTCCCAAGATGCCCATCTGTGTGCCGCGTCGCGCCTCCGTTTGTCCCGAGGGCAATCCCCTCCAGCAAGGCGACCTGGACATGAGTTGTGGTCCCCACAATGAGCACGAAGCCTGTCCCACCACCCACTCCTGTCAGCTGAATCCGGTCAGCAATCGCGGCGTCTGCTGCTCCAAGACCCGCGATGTTTGCTTCGAGTCCATGGACAATGGCTGTCTGGCCTCTGGCAAAACGGAAAGGAATAGCACGCGCTATAGGTTCAGTCCCAGGGCCAACAAGTGCCTGCCGGTGATCATTGATGCCGAGGCTCCCGCCTGCCAGACCAAGAACCTCTTCCACAACGAACTGGCCTGCAACTCTGTGTGTCCAGGTGAGATTATATTTGAGCATTAAAATAATCAATTTAACTAAAACAAAAAAAAAAAATTTTTTTTCATAATTTTGAGTAGGTGTTAATTATTTTGTAACACATTTGCTAAAGAATTGTCTTGTTTACTTTATTTCGTCCCAAGTCAACTTTTTAATGTAATGCTTTGATATTTAAAATTCATTATCAAAAACCATACTTTTATGTTTTCACCACTGGAATTGAACTCGGGCCGTCTGTGCGAGAATGCTTGTGATTGTGAATATAAAAATGCTTTCCTTAAAATGTTTGATATTTTAAATGGTTTCTGAAATATCTTACGTTTATTTTTCCTGCCCTGTAATTGAACTCTGGACATCTACCAGACAAACTTTTTTCTTGACTAAGATTTAATAATTTCCTAGTTTTTAAAGAAAATAATTTTCTTATGTCCTTACTATTTTTTTCTTTTTCTCCCCATTCGGAATTGTTTCTGAAATATCGTACGTTTATTTTTCCTGTACTGGAATTGAACTCAGTACATATGCCAGTCAAACTTTTTTCTTGATTAAGATTGAATAATTTCGTAGTTTTTAAAGAAAATAATTTTCTTATGTCCTTACTTAGTTTTTCTTTTCCTCACCATTTTGAATTGTTTCTGAAAAATCGTGCGATTATTTTTCCTGCACTGGAATTGAACTCGGTGCCATCTGCTCAATCGAACTTTTTTCTTGATTTAAGATTTTAAAGAAATTATTTTTCTTATATCCCTACTTATTTTTCCTTTTCTCCCCAGTGCTCACCCAATGCGAACGCCTGAAGCTCAAGAACAGTCTGGCTGCCCAGCGAACGGGACACTCCTCCGTGTGGTTCCAGCCACGTTGCGATCCCGTCACCGGTCACTGGAGTCCAGTGCAGTGCCTGGGCAAGCAGCCCCAACCTCTGGACAGGCACACCGAGATTGTGAGTCGCGCCTTTGCCTCCGAACCGGCAGCCGCTGGCGAGGATTCTCCCGGAGTTTGCTGGTGTGCGGACAAGAAGGGTGCTCCTTTAAAGGGAACCCTCACCAGGGAAACGGAACCCATTTGCAACAGTCGACAGGCTCGTAATCGCAAGGTAGATATTGGAGATCCCCTGATGGAGCAACTGATTGCGCAGCTGACCCAACTGAATGATGTGGCTAGCGAGGATTTGGATTTCGATGAACTGGAGGCCAGAATTCTACCCGCCACCGCCAGTGCAGCGGAGTCAAGTGTTACCGAAAGAGTGCTCGAGCTGGCCAACTCCCTGCTGGACTCACAGTTGTCCGTGGAGCAGGCCACCATGAAGCCCATGGAGGTGAAGACCACCCGTTGTCGAGCTCTCAAGGAAACGGCACCGTTTCCGGTGAGCTGCGATGAGGCGGGAGCCTTCCATCCCCTGCAATGCAATGGCAGGAGTTGCTGGTGCGTGGATGCGGCGGGCAATCAACTGCAGGCCACCCACATCTTTGGAGCCGGCGATCGTCGTTGCACTCATGTGCCCATCGAGGCGGTGGCCATTGAACTGCATCTCACAAACAGCAGCGGGCGGAGTGTGAGGAATGCCTATGACACCATCAGAAGGGAATTGCAGCAGTTGCTGGGTGGCGAATCCGTGGAGAATCTCCGGGTGCAGGAGAACTTTGATGGCTCGGCCATCGTCCGTTTTGAGCTGCACAACGAGGCCAAGGTGGATTTGGCCTTTGCCATCGAAGCAGCCATTTCCTCGGGTGATTTCCGTTTGGCCGGAGGTCACTTTCTGCCCGACTTGACCCGCTCCCACTTTGTCCATCGAAGTGCTGCCGTTCCAGTCGCCCAGGCGGCCACCTCGCAGGATGAGTCCATTCAGCTGGTGCTCTTCATCATGGCCACCAGTTCCGCCTTCCTGGTGAGCATATTTGTGGTCTATGTGATGCTGAAGAGGAGCAGGAACCTCAAGGCCTCGAATCCGTATGTCAAAGGAGGCGGTGGGAATGGTGACAAACCCGTGGACTACTCCGCTCCCATCTTCGTGCTGGCCAACGACAAGGACGCCCATGGACTGGACAGCCTGAAGGGGTTCAAGGCGTAGGTTGAGTTCCATTGTTGAGTTATCTAAATCAATTTGTAAATAAAAGAGAGCAAATTAAGGATTTACTTTTAGGGGGGAGGAGTGAGGGAGTCCCACTATCGAATACTTGTACTTAAACTAAGACGATTAATTTATGAATAAAGCTTTAAAATTGAATTACATTGGATTTCTTTAAAGAGGATACTTTAAATTCTTTTTGAAAAATTGTAAGCCTATTTTTCCTGCACTGGAATTAAACTTAAACTTTTTTCTTGATTTAAGATTTAAAAATTTACTAGCTTTTGAAGAAAAGAATTTTTTTTACTTATTTTTTCTTTTTCTCTATTTTCCCTGCACTGGAATTGAACTTAGGACCTCTGATCAGAAAAAAACTTTTTTCTTGATTTAAGATTTAAAAATTTACTAGTTTTTGAAGAAAATATTTTTTTTTTACTTATTTTTCTTTTTTCCCCTATTCTAAATTGTTTCTGAAAAATCGTACGTTTATTTTTCCTGCACTGGAATTAAACTCAGGACATAGTTTTTTATTTAAGCCACCCGATTAACAAAGACAACTTTTTGATTTTAATATTTAATAATACATGACATAATTGTCCGCCTGTATGGTATAATGATCGATCGATATCATTAAAATTAACTTCATGAGCTCGCGCACCTCCTTTCGTGCTACATAAACGTATAACATTAATAAATTTTGGCTTCGTTTCATGCAACTCGAACTCAGTTTTGTATTTTGTGTATTGTATATATTGTATATTGTGTAGAACAATTACTAGACATTGGTATAACTATATATTGTTCATATGTATCTTGTATATGTGTACGTATGGATCTGTATATCGTATGCTAAGTGCAAAAACAACACAGCGAAGAAATTCGAGCTGTGTGTCTGGTTTTAATATCTAAAAAAAATTGTAAGTGGCTTAAATCGATTGTTTAGAAAAATGCAATACTCATGGGGGTTACAATTCGGAATAGTTGTAGATTTTTGATTTGGAAAATGCATTGCTTATATAGTAGGTATGTGTAGATAGATCGGTTCGTTAGACTTAAAACTTAGTTTTTAGCTGAATGCGGTTAAGAGAAGACTTGGTTCCATCTATTGAGCAAATTGGATTAGTATACCTTCGGCTTAGGCTTAAATAGCTACTTGCACACATGCAATTGAAACGTTAATATCGTAAAACTCGAGTGCAGTTTGTTCAATTCAATATCATGAAAGTGTGTGATGAATCATGACTGTGTTTCTCCTTCTTCTTCTAATATTTGGTTACGTGGTTAGTCGCTATTCATAAATTAATGTTTGCCATATGGGTGAGTGTGTAAATATATGTGTGTATAAATCTTGTAAAAGAACAAAGGGTTCATAAAAAGAAGCGACTGAATAAATGGCCGCCAGATGATTTTGGGAGCTGCAGCCTGGGATGGATTGATAGGATTGTTTTGGTTGGACTCTCTGCTTTTGTGGACTTTTCTCTCTACTTTCCACCACCGCCAGCTGAACCATTGTTGTTGCTCCGGCTGTTGTTGTTATTGTTGGCATTGCGGAAGGGAATGGAGGCGCGCTGATCCTCCATGCGACCGCTCTGCACCTTCATGATCAGCGAGAAGAAGTCCTCGTCCGGAACGGTGGCTCCGCGACCAGTCTGTCCACGTGCTGCTCCTCCAACCGCAGCCTCTGGAGCTGATCGAGGGGGCGCCTCTGCCTCCACATCCATTGTGACATTGGGGCGCGGCAACTCGGAACGCTGCTCCTCCAGTCGCGAACCCTGGCAGCGCATCAGCATGTCCAGGAAGTCGTCGTCGGGCTGCTGCGTGGTGGTGGCACTCCTGGCCAGCGGACCATGGCCAATGGGATTCGCCGACGACGGCGACTTCAGGCCGGGCAGGTTGGTCGGGTCCACGAACAGCGAGTTCTGCTGCACCAGCGGCTTGCGTGTGGCTCCTGTGGCCACCGCCGGAGCTCCAGCGGGATTCATTTTGATCGAACAGCGCTGGTCGTCCATGCGCTTTGACTGCGAACGCGAGAGCATCTCGAAGAAGTCGTCGTCCTTGGCCTTCCGCGTCGCCCGCTGCTTCTCCTCCTGCAGGCGCTTGCCGTCGGGAGTGATCTTGATCAGGTCCAACTGCTCCATGCTCTGGCGACGAACGCGAACCTGCAGGGAAACGATTAAAGTAATAAGTTTATTTATGTTTCTTTCACGGGTGCAGATTAAACAGTATGTGTTTTGCTTTTCTTTGGGCATAAATATTTACGCTACAATTAGGGGGCAAACACTGCTAACAGCAGGTGTTTCTAAACAAAAGCTACAAGTTTCTGTGTTAAAAATAGGATCACTAGAAGATTTATGCCATGGCTGAAAGGTTAATAAACTAACCTATTGAAAAAATGGTGAATAAATTTAATAATGACTTTAATTAAAGAGTTTTTTAAAGTTTAGTATGTAAAATTTGTTAAAAGCTGTCAAATTTAAAGTGAAAATAAACAAATCCTTGAATTTTTTAAATACAAAATAATAAATTTAAATAAATCCCTCATAAATTTCATGCTTCTACTAAAAGGTTAATAAAATAATCTGTTTGAAAATAGTAAAATGCATTTCAGATTGATTAAAATTAAAATAGCTATCAAATTTTAAAATGTCGATGCGTTAAAATGTTAAGAAATTGTTAATTTAAAAATTTTTGAATGATATTTACATTGATTAAAAATAAAGAATTTTTTTAAAGTTCAGTATCTTAAATTAGTGAAAAGCTTTAAAGTTATAAATTGTGCAAAACATTGCTCAAAGATAAATTTAAATAAATCCCTCATAAATTTCATTCTTCTACTGAAAGGTTAATAAACTAGCCTATTGGAAAATTGTTGAATGCATTTAAGATTGATTAAAATTAAAGATTTGTCAAAAGCTATCAAATTATAAATTCTGCAAAACATTTCTCATAAATAAATTCAAATTATAAGTAAAAATGTACAAATCCTAGAACTATTTAAATACAAAATAATAAATTTAAATAAATCCCCCAGTTAAAATCTTTACTAACCATTCTCCCCTGCGAGTTCTCCGATCCATCCGACTGATGTCCGCTGGCCGAGTGATCGGAGGCGGTGGATCTGGCCTCCTCCTCGGTGGGCGATGGCTCCGATTCGGGCATTCCCAGCAGCTTGCGCAGATCGGAGATGTTCACCCTGGCTGTACTTTCTCCCACGGGATCGTGCAGCTCCTTGGCCAGCTGCAGGTGCTGCTCCGCGTATTTTAAAGCCCTCTCATGACCACCAATGGCGGAGTGGGCATTGCCCAGTGACCAGCAGGCCCTGGCCTCGCCAATCCGATCGCCCAGCTCCTGGGCAATGGCCAAGTGCCGATTGTGGTACTCGATGGCAGTGTTGAACTCGTGCAGCAGCGTGTAGGTGTTGCCCAGACTATAGCAGCTCTGGGCCTCCACCTCGCGTTCGCCCAGCTCGACGGCCAAGGCCAAGGTGCGTTTGTAATGCTCGGCGGCGTCCTCGAATTGCCCGAGGAAGATGTGCGAGTTGCCCAGATTGCTGTTGGCCCGCCGCTCGGCAGCCCGATCGCCAAACTCCCTGGCGATGCGCAGACGCTCCTGATGATGCTCAATGGCCGCCTGGAAGTCGCCCAGCAGGTAGTAGGTGTTGCCCAGGTTGCCACAGGCCCTTCCTTGGGCTCCTCGATCGCCCAGATCGCGCATGAGCTTCAGATTCTCCTGGTAGAACTCCACGGCGCGGGTGAGAGCTTCCTTCACGTCATCGCCGAATTTCCCAGGATTCCTTTGACCCAAATGCTTGCCCTTGGCATGGTAAACGTTGCCCAGGTTGTACAAGGCTCTTCCCTCGGAGAGGCGATCTCCTAGCTGGCGGGCCAAAGTTAAATGTCGTTCACAACAGATGGCTGCCTCGTCAAAGCGACCCATTACTTTGAGGGTGTTTCCCAGGTTTCCAGATGACTTGGCTTCGCCCAGACGGTCATTCATGCTCTTGGCCAGCGTTAAATCATGTTTGTGGTACTGCATCGCCTTGTTGTAGTCGCCCAGGTAGAAGTAGGCGTTGCCCAGCTGCGAGTAGATGGCGGACAAAGTGCGCAGATCCTCGGTTCCCGCTTGAATGGCCGCCTGGAAGAAGGCGACGCCCGCCCGGCAATCGCCCGCCTTGCAGAGGCGTTCTCCTTCGAGCGCTAATTCCAGGCACATGCTGGATCCTCCATCTGATCCAGAACCCTGCTGGGATCCTCCATCGTTGGCTCCACCGGATCCCAGGCCCAAACTGGACACATTCTCCGCCGACGCGGAGAGGGAGGACATTCTGCTGCTGCGACGATTGCGTTGCTCCTTTTGGAGGCGGGGCAGTTGCGAGGAAAACTGGGTGGTGTCCACTTTGCAGCGCTGCTTTTTGGGGTTTGCTATCTGGGGTTTGGGTCGCCCGGGGGCTGCTTCTTCAGCTGCTGCTACTCGAAATCGGCTGCGTCAGGTGAAATTTCCGCAATTAAGCTTGCTTTTGTACCGTTTTTTTAATAATTAGTCAATTTCTGACTAATGGTGGTACCGTATGCGGAGTGCAAGGAAATGCTAATAAATACCAGAAATACCAAACTTAAGCAGTTATTTTAAAAATGATTATTTAGCTATTTTTAAATTAAAATCAAGTTACAATTTAACATTTAATCAATATTATATGTAGATTAATTAATATCGTAACTAATATCAGAGCAAAATCTTATACAAAATATGTTTAAATGTAATTTAAAGCCAGAAACACCAAGCGAAGGCCGTTAATTTAAAAAGTAATTATTTAATTTTAGCTTTTTATTTATTAAAATAACTTTAAAAGTTAATATTTGTTAAATTTAATATACAAAATTATTAATATCTAACAAATTATGAGACAAAATCATATAAAAAATATGCTTTTAACTAATTGTACGTTTTTAGAATTCGTTTTACTTTGTTGTGAATTTAGTCATTGTTATTTATTACAAATTATAAAAACAAAATTGTGCCAATGAATTGATTTATTTTACTTAATGCAGTTCTTAAAGTGGCCTTTTCCACTTATGTAAATGTGTAACACCTAATATGTAAAGTTTTGTTTTTTTATAGTGTAGTTTTTAAAATATTAAGAAATAGATATTAATTTTTAATTTTATTAAAAAAAGAATTTATCAAGTATGATTTTCCGTTAAATCTAGCTATTTACTTAGCTTTACTTTTGAATGTTTCTGCTGCCCAGCACAAGGGGAAAAAGGATGAATAAATAAGTTATTTTAATAAATTATAATATTTATAATAACCAATTCTATCAGTAATTTATGATATTTATTTTCTGCTGCCTTATTGTCTGGCTAGAAGAAGCCATTAGAATGTAGCTTGCACTATAAGTAATCATAAATTTTAAAGGATTTTAATATATTTTTAGTGTGATTAGCTGAAAATTAAATATTTTGTAATTTTTGCATAATATTTGTTGAACCCCTTCCCCCACAACCAAATCAACATTTTTTTTTTCTTTTCAGGTAAAATAAACCTATTTGATGACTAATAATTATTATTAATTATTATTATAATTATAATTATAATCTGTTCTACATTCAAATAAACAACAAATTTCTTATGATCCCCATTTGCCTTATTCAAATTCAAAACAGTTCAACTTTTGCGCCAAAAAACTCGAACAAAACAGGCCCACAGGGTGATTCGTCACATATTTAAGAAAATGAAATATATCGATGATAAATTGACAGCGCCGCGAATACAGGCCAGCCAATTTCCCGCTAAATTTGTTCAATATTTTTGTAAATTTGCGTTAAATTTACAAGATTATTATAAAAACTTCTTTATAAAACAAATAAAACCATTTATTTTTTTAACTAAATTTCTTAAAATTCCACCTCTTTTGGCTAGTCTTTCCCGCCAGAAACAGCTACTTTTCCTGATCACGAGTTGGCAGCCCCTTTAAAAATGGCGTCACTTCTTCGTGTCTGTGTAAACGATTCTAGTTGCCGCTGGAAAAAATTCGTAATTCTCGCATAAAACACACCTGCCGGCCGCCCAAATCGATCGAAAAGCGAACGTCCGACTCTGCGGCGCGACAAGCGAGTGAAATTGTGGCTGTGCGAGCGCGATAGACCGCTGAAAAAAGGAGTGCAAAAGTGCGAATCGGGGATACCCGGATACTTCAGGTGTGTGTGTGTGTGTGCGTTGCGTTGCGTCGCTTTTTTTGTGTGTTGCAGTCGCCAGCAGTGCAACGCAAACATTGTGCTAAATTACATAAAAAGCTGAGCATCTAAAGGAAAGCAGGCGAAAAGGGGCAAAGAGGAGGATTTCTGCCACACACAGAGCAAGAGAGAGAGAGAGATTCAGAGCGAGCGAGAGGTCGATAACGATAGCCTTGTTTAGTTATCGCCCTCGATAGCCGAGAAAACAAAAAAAAAAAAAAACAGCGGCGTCCTTTCAGTATGACCCTGCTGCAGACCAACGGATTTCTCACCTGCAGTGTGACCGCGTGAGAGAGAGACACCAACCGGAGAGAGCAGTTATTGTGGTGAGTTCGGGCGGCGCAACTTGAGAACGAAACCCACCACGCTCTCACCCAGAAATCTGGCACAGTGGTAACGAACTAAAAGCTAAATGAGTAATCGAAAAAGGGGAATAAGTCTAGAGCTAGAGGTTAAAAAATTATAATAGTCAGTCAGTTTTAGAAACAATAACAATAGGAGAAGTATTTCAAGTAGTACTCAAATCTCTCCGTATTTGTATGTGGTGTGTGGGAGAGCACTCGCGTATAGTATATACACATGTGCAAAAGAGAGAAAGAGCAGGCCGAGAAGAGAGCGAACGAAAAAAATATCGCCACAGTTGCCGTATGCCGCCTTCGTCGTCGGTTGGTGGAAAAGATATAGAAATCTTTTATATACACTCAGTCGGTTTTTAATATATTCTGCAGCCTTAAAAAATCAAAAAACCAAACCCGAAAAAAGAATAACGCAAAAGCGCAACTAAACAAAGCCGAGTGCAAAATTCAAGCCACAATTTCCAAGGCGAATGCAAATTTTTCAAGTGCGCAGTAAGCGGCTAAATCCCCAGACGCAATTCGGTGTTTCTCAAAAGTTTTAATAAATAAATAAATATGTAATTACATTCGCCAGCAGCTCACCCACACGCACACACACACATGCGTATCGAGGAGATTCGTTTAGAATTCGTATATGCATATATATTTTTTACTTATATTATTTTTAGAATATCGATTTTGTTGCCGCGTGCGTGTGTGTGTCTCTCTCGCACCGAGTGTGTGTGTGTGTGTGAAACATACATATTTATGATAAGTGTGTGTGTCAAGCAGTAAAATGTGTTAAGAATTATGTTCATATAGACACAAGTTACCTAATCTTACTGCAAAAAAGAAAGGAATTAAAAGAAAAATAGAAGAAAGGAATCAACAAACCAAAGTGAATCGCAAGAAAGAGCGAGCGAGCCCCAATCCCCATCAAAACAGCTGCGCTCTCACCTTTTTACTCATCCTCTTATCCTCTCTCTCTTCCCATTCACATTCTCATGCTCCCCTCCCCATTCCCCACACACATACACTTTTAAGATCTTTTTGTGTATTTTGCTTTGACACCGCATTTACATGTGTTGACCCCACTTGGACCCCGCCCCCTCTCGTGCCGCCCCTCGCGATGCGTTGTGCAAAATTCTCCCGTGAACTACAGTTTTAATTCAATTATGTCAACTGCTATACACACATCCACAGTGAAACCCAGCGAGCAGTGCTAGAAAGCAAAAGAAAAAAAGCATCTTCGTGACGTACAAGCGGGAGAGAACCGAGAAATCGAAAAACAGCAACCAGAAACTGAGAATCAAGCTGAGAAAACGAGAAAGGTATGCCAAGACCAACGGAAGTTGGCCCACAACAAATTCGAATTCGATTCAAATCGAAACCATTTTGGGCCAAAAGCTCGCTCCATTTCCGTTCAATAATGCTTAACCCTTTGATTGCTCACGAGACATTTCCGTAACTACCAAAATAGGGTCATATCTTCAGTAACTCAATAGATAATTACCAGCCTATAAGATTCGAGTTATTAAGACTTTGAGTTTTTAAAGGGAATTTGGATATAATATATTTAGTGTTAGGGAAAACATTATTGGACGGCAAGTTTCTGAAGATTATTAATACCATACAATCTTAAGATCTATGTAAATTTTTTAACTAAAACAATTTTAGGTCAATGAAGTCAAGGTATAGAATACCGTTATAAAACGACACCACAAAAAAATTACATTTTACTTATTTTCAAAAATTTACTAACCTTATAAACACTTTTTTTTATTCTCCATGAAGAAAATAATATTTTTCACCGGTGTTATAAAATATTCCAAAGTATTATCAAAGTGTTAAATCAAATATGAGACCAAATTCCAATAAAAATTTCTCAACAATTTAAGTAAATACGCATAGGGTTAATCTACAGCCAACCGAAAGTCAGACAAAGAACTGGTTCTAATTGATTGAGTGATTTCTAGACGGCGGGGCTGACGGGGGTTAAGTGGAGGGGCAGAACCTGAACGGCAAATTAACAAGTTCCAATTGATACATACGTGTGTGGGGACACACGAAATTCGTCGAGCCTACTCGAAATTAGCATAAATGTGTCAAAATGGTAAATCATTTCGGGTTCACCAGTCACCGAGGTGACAAGGCCCTTGCATTGCCCTGGAATTAAGCCATTATATATCTGATCCGACGATCAGTTTGATTACAATAATCCATAAGGTAGCCAAGCACGCCCAGCGGAGAGTCCCCAAATTGAACGTGACTTGTGTGCAATTGAATGGCAAAGAAAACAAGATCATCGCTCGGTTGGGTACTTAAGTTTTCAGCCATATTATTTCCAGTTTTCTAGCTGCGTCGATCGTTTTTTTTCGCAGTTTGCCCAAGCGGGTTTGTCACCTGCCATTAACTGCTTTTTTTTGCCGTGTTCGTGTGTTGGTAAAGCACTACTGGCCCACTGTTTTCGCGGTAGTTAACTTGGCTTTGACGTCATGGTTTTTGTCAAATAAGGCTTGCACTTGAAGATGCAGTTTAGAATCCCTGCTTCAAGTAGTATTCCTTAAATACGTTATGCAAACTTGGAGGTGCAACCTATAAATCATTAGCAGGTTGTGAAATAATCTTGCTGTAGATAGAACCACTTGAAAAAGTTGTTCTATAAGCTGTAGGATTTTTATTGTTATTTTTATTTTTGTGGCTTCGACGTTTCGCTCCCATTTTCGTTGTTTGAATTTCAATTTGCAACCACTGACAAATTAAAATGTGCTTCCCAGTTGACACATATCATTAATGGGTTTATTTAAGATCTATTAACCTTATATAACCTCTTGAAACAACGATGCACTTCGAATATAAGTTAGGAATGCTAATAATAATAATTTCTGGGATAATTCGATAAATTTTTAGAGTATATTTCTAGGGTCTACTTTCATATTAATCGATTTCTCCCGTTTCTGAACCAATTCCTTGGCGAATTTTTCTATTTCTGAAATATTTTAACGAGTTAACCGAGGCAGTCAACCCAAATAAGTGTCATGCCAGCGTGTGCAACAATTTGTATGCTCACTTATTGTCTGGTCACTGGAGTTTTCACTACGATGAAGAGGAGAATGTAATGCTGCCATAAAATGCCTCCGCATACAAAATGGAAGCTCCGTATATCGGGTGAAAGACGAGAGCTCTATTATAAAATTACCAAGTCTCTGGGGCATTACTATATACTGTAAGCTATATATACCCACTACCCTCCCCGGACGACCTGCTTTGCGACTGTTCACCTTTTTGTCGGCGCTAAACGCACATTCTCCCGGCAGCCGATGTTAATTTCGCTGCTGCAGCTTTAACTTTTCTGCCTGGCCGCAGAAGTTAAAGAGCGTGCTCGGAGTCAATTTGCCTTTTGGCTTTTCCAGCTGCCTTTGCTGCCTGTAAGTTGACTCCTTTCTCCGCCGATTTTCCTCTGCCAGCTGAGGCTTGGTAACCTCTTAATGACCACAAAAACACACTCGTTGTGCACATTCTGCTGTCTGTTTTGACATAACTGACCTCACTCTTAGGCGCCTTAGTGCCTTATGTGGGCTATGGGCTATGGGCTACGGGCTGTTTTCCCTCACATTTTCTCCACCTCGTTATGTACGGATTGTTATTGCTGTGGGTTATGCCTAGCCTGTCTCTCTGAAACCGTTTTCCTAATTTCACACGGAGAAAAAGTTTCTTGAGTAGGTCTAATTCTATTTTAAAAGCAAACAAAAATGTTTTATAATAAATTTTCATACTTATAATTTAAACTTACGAAATATTTTTGAATTTTGCTTTTTGATTTCAGATTGAATGTGTTTTTCCTTATTTAGACATATCTTTGCCTAGAATATTCCTATTTTATAGAACTTTGGAATAAAATATATAGAACGGATCAGTGGCGGATCCAGGATTTGATTGTGGAAGGGGATTTCAAAAAAATTTTGTGTTGCATACTTTTTGAATACCCAATTTTTTTTTTCCAAGATATGCTTTTCAAGAAAAGCACGCCTTTATTAAAATAAATATAAAAAAGAATCCAAACAAAACCTTTGTCGTTTTATATTTATTACCGTGTATTTCCTACAGAATCTCTCTTTGTTTTTTCTCCAAATTCACATTCTTACATACTTGCACTTTCCTGGCTGCTCTAAAAATAAACCCCCAACCCATATTTCTTTCAACTCCATTCAAATCGAATTGATTTACTCCAACTTTGGTGTAAACAAAGATATAAAATTGCAGCCAGCTTCGATGAATTGCTCTGTATCGAATTCCTTCCCAGGCATCTCGATGAAAATATCTGCGAAATGTAAAGTTCTCTACGAAATTCTCGACAAATCGCTTATTCAATCTATTTGCTGTTTTTTTTTTTATTTTGTTTGCCCCACCCTCTCATTTCTCTCATTTCTCTGGTTTTTTGTGTTTGACTTGAAAATATTTTCGTTATTTGCTATGGGGCCAGTTCGCCCGAAGCGAAACTACAGACTGGTCAGGCTTTTTGTTTGATTTTTTGTTTGTTTGTTCTATTGGCAATTGAGAGAATCCGTTGCTGCAATGGGAAAAAATCAATTTTATTTGCTAGTTTGTTAGGCGAATATGTGTGCGAGTATTTGTAGAATTCATGAAGCTAGCGGTGAATCGAATGTATATGGTATAGGGGTATAAACCTCAGTGCTACTCTAGTGTAAACATCTTTAGCGCACCGCAAATTAATGACCGTCTGAGTGGAGGGCAAATGGTTCTCTCATTATAATTAGACGACTGTCTGACTTTTGTACTCTAAACGGCTTGCTGAAACGTTTACTGGGCCGAGGCCCAGATTTTTGTGCCCCTTTGTTTTGCAAAATGTTTGCATTTTTTACTTCGCACGGCTCGCTAACGAGAGGAGCAATCAGCTGTGGCAGCCAGAAAATGAGATGAGAAAAAACGCCGCGAAATGAAACGATAAAAAGTCAATTAGCCACACTAAA